CCATCTCCAGACCGAGAACCACCAGACTGGTGATAATCCCCAGAGGAACCATGAGCAGCACGGACAGCACATCTTCCAGGGATATTTCACGATAGCCACCAATGGCTTTTTCGCATATGCTTGGGGTCCTTCCTGGTAGGTAAGCCATCAACTTCGATCTTATGCCCATTTCTGCCAGGCTGGTCAGCACTTTGGTGAGTTCTCGTTTCAAAGCGGCCCTTCCTTTTGCCGCTGCCCAGTAGGAAGGTGTAGCTTTGACAGGTGTGTTCTGCAGAGGAGCGTAGTTACAAGCGTCGTCGCCAATGTCGTGCTCCATAAAGTGCATGTTAACGAAGGTCATGATCTTGGGACCAAATGCATCCTGAATGCTGATATTATTTGTCAGTACTGGTATCAGCCTGTCTCCGCTCATGATACGCTCATACAGCTGTCTCTCGGAGATGTCCTCGCTGGAAGCCAGAGCGCTCATCTGGGATACGCCAGGTTTGATGGCCACGTGCCAGTCGGGCTGTTCGAGGAACTCGCGTACGCTGCTGATGGGTTTGGTGGCGGTGTTAGTTATCAGAAACGACATCAGGTTGGCCGTGTAGTTGATGTAGATCAGGATGCCCATCACCCAGCCGAAGATGGTGGCCGTGCGGCCGGCCAGCGACCGCGGCGTCCTGTCCCAGCCCTGACCCAGCACGGTCATGGCGCCGGCGAGCAGGCACGAGCCCCAGCCCATGTCCCGTACCACCACGCTGTCCTCGGCTCGGGGGCTGCTGAGTTTCAGCGTTGCTCGCAGAACCACGGACAGGATCAGCAGCGAGGCGACCAGCGCCCACCATACCTGACCGCTCAGAGGGCGCAGCAGGCTGGCGAACATACCCAGCGAAGGTCCCGGCGCGCGGTCCGAGCTCAGGCGCACCACGAACGATATCTTCTCCATCTCCACGGGCACGTTGAGAAAATCGACGACCGCCTCACGCTGCGGCGTTATGGACAGCAAGGAGAGCGCCACGTCAGCGCGACCCTCGACCAGCTCGGCGATGACGCCCGTCCACGAGCCGTTGGCGGTGAGCATGCCGTAGCCGTTGGTGCGTGGCTCCACGATAGTGTAGTTGAGCTGCAGTTGGTCCGCCACCAGCCCCCACAGCTGGAACAGGTAGCCGCCGCCGCGGACCGAGCCGTCCGCCAGGCGCTCCAGGGTGACGATGGGCGGGTCGTCGAAGGCGGTGACCCGCAGAGTTCGGTTCAGCGCTGTCTCCTCCACCTCCCATCCCGGTCCGAGCTGCACCAGGTCGCCACGGCGCTCCATCGCGGCGGGCTGAGGTCAGCTCAATGGGCGAATTGTCAGCTCAATGGAGTCCTGACAACCTGACGGCCGGCGCCCGACATCGCGCCATTGAACGAACTTTGCGCAGTCACCCTTGCATTCCACAAGAAATGCCGAGGATAGTTTCATCGTCTAACTGTCGCACTTGCAAAGAAGAAGCTATTGTGCCTGGGGTAATGTGAGGACCCAACATCTGTTTATGGGTTTTGTTACGCCTAAAGTATAGGCTCCACGGCACACTTTTTCGGTTTTTCGTTTCGTTTTTTCGCTTTTTCGGCTTCAGTAGACGATCAGCTTCACTTGATAACATTGGTGTAGCTCCACGGCAGCGAAACCGAAAAAACGAAATTAGCAACTCGAAAAAGCGACGCGAAAAAACGAAAAAACGACTCGAAAAAGCGAAAAAGCGACTCTAAAAATCGAAAAAGCGAAAAAGCGAAGCGACTCGTCCAACCCAAAAGTTTGGATCGACAATCAGTTTTTCGGCTTCAGCACGTGACGATGTGGTGATACTGATGCATGTTTCCAACGATTCATATTTCGGTACTCCTAATGGAAAAGAAGGAATGTAATCGCTCAATAGTATTTCAGTGTCGATATGCACATATTTTCCACGTGAAAGGATTGAATAGCGGTTAATTATGCGAGATATCATATCAGGTCGCGAAAGGTATGCACAATTTTCGGTAATAAATTTCGGTAAATGCATGCTACTATAGAGCGATGAAAACACATTCGATGTGTTCCACTGGACGATACAAATCGACTGATATGCATCACGAACTTTCCGGCCAGGTCATGACCTCGACCAGTCCAGTTAGCTTAACCCGCGCCCTGCTGGGGGGTGTTTGAACACCCCCCCTTGTGGTTTTTCGCGTATATCTCAAAAACGGCGGCGCGGAGCGCCGCCGTTTTTGGTACACCTTATCATACATCAATTCTACACATGTTTTGAAAATTTCAGACCAAGGTCATTCAAGGTCAGGTCACCAGGTCACTTGAAGTGACCTCACCTCATAAAAAGTTTCAATGTCTGTCATAGCTACACCGAGTGACCGATCGCTTTGAAACTTTCAGCGATTGCTAAGAGTAATAGCATGTACAAAATGTATATCTCAGAATTTTGATATCGATGACCTAAGGTCAGGTCAATTTTGCGACCTCCCCATTATAAGTCTATGGGAGAAAATTGAAATGCGCCTCTTTTGGACGAAAGACATTATAAACACTCCCAAACACCGAATTACAAGTGGCTTAGACACACTGAACATGAAAATGGTGTCCGTGACCCTTGTTTATGCCCTGAGGTCATCTTAGGTCACGAATGGTATCTAACGGTTTTTCGCAAATAACTTTTGATAGAGGCATGCTAGAGCGATGAAAACGTCTTAGATGTGTTCAGTTCGACGATACGGATCGACTGATATGCAACATGACCCTTTCCGGTCAGGTCATGACCTTGACCTTAGGTCAAATTTTCAAGTTGACCTTTCAAGGTCAAGTTATAGTTCATTCGATGCGTCTTGACGAGAAGAACACGATGCCGGTAAAAGTAAGCTCGTACAAGGCTTGGGTCAAAAGTTATTACAGAAAAACTGTTTCCGAAAAAATCGGCTATTTTTGCAGTTTTTGCCCCCTGCAGGCAAAACCGTTGATGTTAGGTCAAATCTGAGAGAATTACTCAGAAAGGGCGTTAATAGGGCTATCGAATGCGCTTTTTCGCGGCGCTGTAGCTGTATTGGTTCCCGAGTTATGCGTTGGCTTCTTGGAAATTTTCGACATTAGACCTGGAAATCGGCGAAATTTTGCCTTCAATGACCTCTGGTGACCTGACCTTTGACCTGACCAAAAAATTGACCGAAGTGATTTCGTCATTATTTTTGACGCTCTTTCGAACGCCGCCTTCCGCGTATTGCTACGTGGCCCAGGAGCCGAGTTACAAGGGGGGGTGTTCAAACACCCCCCCCCCCAGCAGGGCGTGGAAATCCAGGACCCCCAGCCGGGCGCGGGTTAAGGTTCATTCGATGCGTCTCGACCAGAGAAACACGTTTCTGGTGAAGGAAAGCTCGAGCAAGTTAAGAGTCAAAAGTTATTGCGGAAAAAACTGTTTTTGCAGAATCGTATATTTTGGACGCTTATGCCCCTGCAGGATAAACGGTGGACCTTACGTCAAATCTGAGGTCATGCTAGCGAAAGAACGTTAAAAGAACGTTTGATTGCGCCTCTCCGCGGCGCTATAGCTCTATCCATTCCTGAGCTATGGACCGATTTGTCAAAAATTGTCGAAGTTTGACCTATAGATATTGGCGACATTTTACCTTCGATGACCTTTGGTGACCTGCCCTTTGGCCTACACCTGACCTAAAAATGGCCGAAGCAGTTTGTTCATTATTTTTTAGCTCTTTCAAGTGTCACCTACGGCGTGTCGCTACGTGGCTCAGGAGCCAAGTTAGAAGGGGTGTTCCCCCTTCCAGCAGGGCGTGGAAATCCAGGAGTCCCAGCGGGGCGCCGGTTAGTAGCTGAGCTGCTGGAAGTTTAGTCAAGCCAATTTCCGACTACAAAACAGACGAGATCTAGTTTAAGTAATTTCCATCTGTTAAAACAGACAACAAAACAGACCCCTAAAGCCCCTAGGCAAAACTGCGACCAAAGCATTGCACTGGTTGCAAACAATATAAAAAGAGCTGGCGGTTGCACAGCGCGTTCCAACTAAACAAAAATCAGCGAAACTCGAAAAACTCAAGTCACGAAGCGATAAATCGAAAAAGCGAAAAACCGACGCGAAAAAGCGATAAATCGAACCGAAAAAGCGAAAAACCGAAAAATCAAAAACCGAAAAAGTGTCCCGTGTAGCTTGACCTTAATGCAGGCGCTTTGTCTGTTCACATGAACTGCTAGCTAGCGCTTATTCACGCAACATTATTTCGATATGGCTATTGGCTAATTGCACTCGCATACAGCATGGCAGGAACTTTCACCTTTGGCGCCACCATTTGTCAAACTTCTAAGTGAGGTTGATGGAAAAGGCCATCAAAAGATAGTATAAAAGTATCAGCTGTCAGGGCATATCTATATCAATAATTATATAAACAATAAATTTGAAGTAGATTTCCCGTCCTCTAAATGCACCCTGTGTTCGTACATGTCGGGGCGACGCGAAGTCAACATTGCCGAACTCAGAAATATGGTTTAGGAATTATAGCATATGCACCACTTCACGTCGGTTAATAAGCGCGCATGAGAGCTGTACTCACACACACAGGGGTGACCATTGGCAAAAAGTATAAGTAAGTAATAGTGTAATAATGAGCATAACTATAAGTATCAAAGAAAGTATCACAGAGGCGCCGTCTCTCGGAAGAGGGAAGGGCGCCTCCACGACCTCCCTCCGGACTCATGTTTGATTTTAGGTGCCTACTGCCTGAGGTCGCCCATGTGACATAAAGTTGGCTTTGCACGACAAGTCCTCTGGTCATTGGAATATGGCGTTGGAAACCAACGAAACTGCTTCCTATAAGAGGAAAAGGACATAGTGCCACTAAATTTATATGTTCGCGTTACCGTTAGATCTCAGAGGAAAATATTCTGGAGAAGTGGGCCATGGAGACGCCGCTGTTCAGATAACCCCTTCAGGCCTTCATTTTCAGGATACCTACATGCAAAATTAATTTTGAGAAAAAGCCGCTAAATTTCAGCATTTTATTTTCCACCGTTTCGGAGATGCTCATGAAAAACCGGAGGGGTGGATGAAAACACCCCCTACCCATTTTATTGTAGGTATAGAGTGTAGGAATAACGTCACTTGAGTTGGTCATCAGCAGAGCTGTGCCCACTGCCCACAGTTCGACCATCTTCAGTTGAATAAACTGCTGTCGTCTGCAGTTGAGATGCGCGCGCCATTGCATCGGTTGACCATTATCTTTTGTAAACCTACTTGAATATCTAAATATCCTTGTATTTCGGCAATTTTTGTACTGTGAATATCTGATGGCACTTATTTGAAGGGTACAGTGAGAGTTTCACAATGCTGTCATTTCATTGTTTTCAACGGGGCACGCTTTAAAATTAACAGCGCCGTATGAGCCAACAGAAGATGGTGGGCAGCCCGTGCCCACCTCACCACGTAAATCCGGCAACAGTACCGTCGAAAATCAACTTCAGTCGGAACTGTCGCTAGAGTCACTATCATCATCGGAGGAGGAGGAGCCCTGCGATTCCTCTTTGGAGCCTTCTGGGTCGGGCGGCTGTTCGTCAGTCTTTTCCTGTTGAAATCTCCTGTATCCGTAGGCTGATGCCAACATGATCAACCCCAACACCAATATAGCGACGATTAGAATCGCGTTCTTGTGGATCGCCTTTTGTATCATCTTCTGCGCTTCTGCCACTGCCCCGACGAACTTTCCGTGATTTTTCTCCTCGACACTGAGGCTGTCTTCGGGTCTGTCCAGGAACGACACGGTGAATTTGAACTGCATCGACTTCCTCACGGTCGCCGGTCCCCCGCTGAAGGAGAGCGTCCACCCGGCCATGCCGATGATGTCCAGCTCGTTGGTCCTGGACCGCAGCACTGGCCGGTACCCCTCCGGCTCGTTATTCACCAGCGAGGAGATACTCTCCGTCCGCATCTTGCCCACCGCCCCCTCTCCGATGTACACATGCATGCCGTACTGACACTCCAGGTCGTTGGCCATCCACATTTCTACGGTGTCGTCAAAGTTGCTCTTGATGGATGCGAAATCGTGCGCCACGTCCACATTGATGCGAGTTTCTTCGCCGCTTTTGATAATGACTGTGATGAACTGGCAAGTGTTGAAGTCCGGCCGCGGGTAGTTGTGGTTCTCGTCGTGCATTCCTTTTCCCTTCATATCCACCAGGCCAGGCTCTGATATGTCCAGCATAGCCTTAGCTCTATCCAGCACGGGGAAAATTGGTCCGTCTTTTGATCCACATGAGCTGCCTGAGAAGCCTTTTGGACAAATACATTTGCAGTCCTTTCCGAGATAGCCAAAGTTTTTACACTTTGGTGCACTTTTGCCACTGTCCTCGCAGCTCTTGGTCCATTTCGATACACATTTGTATCCCAGGTTGACGATCATACTATCATAATGTGTCTGCAAATAGCCACCAGGCCTATGATAGTCGAACATGTATTGATAGTGTGGATTTTTGTGAAGATAAACAGGTCTCTGATCAAGCCCCGCGAAGGACGACGTAGCATAGTGCATCAGTGACATCGGGTCATAAGGTTTCGGGGCACCATATACCTCCTTCGGACAAAACTTCCCTGCTTGTGACCACGAATGTTTAATAAAATGCTCCGCGATCTTCTCTAGTTTTACTTCAATGTTTTCAAACTGCACGTTGATGTGCTTATCACGGTCTGGTCTTGCCATTTCATGCAGCAATCCAAGAGCATGTCCGAATTCGTGAGCAGCGGCCACCAGCTCACAGCCTCCCGGCTGAACGGACATCTTCTGGGATGACCGGTCTTTGCCCGTTCCATAGTGGCGGCCCAGCAGCGACCAGCAGCCTCCGAACGCCCCGACGCAAACTGCTGGCTCGCCGATATCAGCATCACACTTGTTCGGTGGCTTCTTAGAAAACTTAATGCAAGTGTTGTCTGACCAGCTTTTTACAGCCTGCTCAAATATGTCTTGGTCGGCTTTCGTTTCAGTATCAAAATAATAGGCTACTATGGTTTCTTTGCCGTCGTCTAGCCAAAGTTTACTCCTTACCTCTAAATTTTGGCGACCTTCAATTGCTCCGAGTTCAGGAAGTAAGTCCTCTGGATAGAAAGCAACATCATCAAGTATTCCAAGAAGCCGACCATTCGATCCATCTTTTACCGTATATCCACGGCTCACGAGCAAAGCGGTCAATTCTTCTTTAGTGAAGTTCATAGAGCTATCCTCTCCCTTGACAACTTCATAATTTGCCTTGGTATTATAATCTGTTTTCACTGACAAACTGTCCTCGACGTTCTCAGATTTTCTTAGCTGAATGCCGATCGGCTTGTTGTCAACCTGTCCATCAAGAGTAGCAACAACACGGAGTATTTGTAATTCAATCAGGACGAAACTGAGAAGAAATGTACGCATAAGGTAGAAAATTATCCAGTGTAGCAACTAGTTAGCACCACTGGCATATTGTGGTGCTAGAATTTAAATCGCAATTGAAATGCCCATATAGGGCTCTATTTAGGTGTTGGTTCACGGTGCCCAGTCGTTACTTTATCCTTTGCCTTTAAAATAAACGGCCATATTGGTCATTTAGTTCAATGGTTTGTTTTACATGAATCACATTTTTGAACCCTAGGGCAGGCAAGAATTATCCATACTTGCTCCATACACTAAAATTTAACTCAAAGCCTGGAAGGTATCTTTAATTAGACATCACCTTTCTCGTGCCAACCTAATTAAAGTACCTTTATTTGGTCGTTTCCCAGACATTTCGATCGACATCGTCACGACATCTACCCTGAGCGCGTACCGAGACTCATTGAATATCGGACATGCATGCAATGCTGCTTGATTAGATGCAGCAGTTTTTCCGCGAAGCTCTAGCTCGATCAGAGGCCGAACGGCAGGGAGGTCCAACTGACCCCCCTATATTGCAATGTCTTTTCATTAAAACTTCAGCATTCGTAGGATGAAATAACACATGTTTTTTTATCGACGGGCTAGCTAATAGGCATGCATTGTGCGGCATCCACATAACTTGATAACTCACACACTTCACACTTGTCTGACTGGAGACGGCCGGGACGAAGTGTAAGTACGGACTAAGTCTGAACCTATTCCCACCCCTCCCGCCAGGTCTGGTTCCAGAACCGGCGCGCCAAGTGGAAGAAGCGCCGCTCCAGCGGCGGCGGGCTGCGGCCGCAGGTCGGACTGATGACCTCACCCCTCGGCTCCGGGTGGGGCATCGGAGACGGCTTCTCCGGCGGAGAGACCCGCTGGTCGCTCGGCGCAGGTGAGGAATGGGGGAACAGGCGATCTGAGACCCCGGACCGTCCAGCGGCTCTGTCGAGTTGGATGGGTTCTGTCGATCGCGTCTGACCAGTGGCAACTTCAACGGTCTGTTTGTCAGGGTCAGAGGTGTCGATGGGATTCTATCGTCATCCCTGTGACCACTGTAGTGATCGGCGATCGCTGCGGCAGCCCCTTTGCGATATAGCCATGTTGATGCAGTCTTCCGTTGCCCCACCCTGATCCGCCGCAGATGGGATATCAGTTGACACTGGGTATGGTGGACTCGTTACGGTTCCTAGTGACCTGCTCGCCACCAGGAATGCCTGTAGGTGTGTGTTAGTCCCTAGTAAATAGCCCGCCACCAGCAATGGTGGTGGGTATGGGTCAGCTTCCACTGACCACTATGATCGTCCCGCCACCAGGAATGTCTGTGGGCTCGGCGCCGCTGGGCCTGGGCCGCAGCTCAGTTGGCCAGCTGGGGCCTCCTCCATCCCAGATGGGCGTCTCGGGCCCTCTGAGTCAGATGAACCAGGCCATCAACTCAATGACTGCCGTGGCCATGCCCAACACGGGCTATCACACCCAGTACGGCCTGAACCCGCTCGGTAAGTGCAGCAATGGAACAGCGCCACTCCAGCAGGGAGAGATTAAACAGAGAGAAAGCCGAATGAGAAAGAGTGCCCCTTGCAGCTCAAGCTCACCTCCCTGCCATTGACGTGTGTTCATCCCGGGCTCTACCTGACGACTGACCCCGTCTCCCCCCTGTTCGCCGTCGCAGCGGTGACCAGCTGCGGCATGGCCACTCCTTCCTCGGTGGCGGGGGCGGCCACCTCGGTGGCGGCGCCGCCTACGCCGCCCATGGAGCCGCCCCCGCCCGGGGCCGTCATGTCTGGCCTCTACTTCAACGGCGACAGCTACAGCGACGTCCGACGGCGCATCTTCGAGAACTCCACGCTGGGCCAGAGGCCGTGCGACTCACAGCAACTGTGACAACCAGCCGGCGGCGGCGGCGGAGGGCTCTGAGCGGCCGCCCCCGCCCCCGCCCCCGCCGCGACCGACCCGGCCGCCGCCCGGAGCTAATCAAAATGGCGGTCTGAGGAGTCCGCTGACCGCAGGATGTTTGCGAGTGGACACTCTGAATGGGTGCATGGCTCCGGTCCGTGACAATGTTCGTGAGTCGTGACTCACACGGTGACTCGATCCGTGACTCGAGTCATAAAGGGTCACATCCGTGACGGTTCTGTGTGATGTCCTGGGGTGCCGGATGAGACATTGGCACCCTAGAGTGGGACTGGGATTCACTGGAACTGACCCCTGCGCTGTATTCGAGCGTCGATATATGTGTATGCGCAGGAGAATCGGCCCACAGCCCGCCCGAATACTAGGCCGAGTCAGCCCCCCCCCCGCATTTTCCAAGCTTGACGCTCCATAGCTGCCCCCACAAGACGGCACCAGATCATAAGCCGGGGCTGGGTTCCGTCGGAGTCTCGAATGACTGATGATGTTTCTCCGGGCCAGTCTGGGTGTTATAAGTCGGGCCAGAAAACACCGAGTGTTCTGAGTTGCGCCGGCAGTCACCGAGTGTTCCGGGCCGCACCTCTGGTCACTTCAGGTGACCTAAGATATTCTGAGCCATTCTGAGCCAAATGCTGCATCCATCAGCGCCACAGTGCGATGTGTCGCGGTGGTCATTGGTTAACGTGGCGTGAGTTGACGCTGTATGATCGCTCGATAAGCGGCGCTGAAGTCTGAACTGTTTTGAGGTCGAGATCAGCCGACTGGGATCTGACCCATGCTCAGCGCCCAGCATCACGGCATGTAAAAAGGGGCGGCCCAGGCCAGCCAAATCGTCCCTCTACATCCCGCTACTCACTTTACGTAGCGCAAAGTGCAATGTTTTGTTGTACCTGCTGCTTCAACAGGCAGTGAGACTCGATGTACCTAATATGTGCGCGCGAGCGACTGCCCAAACTGCTGTATATGAGCCAGCTTTAGGTAGATCAATGTGCCCGTGTATACCTGCATGCTATTCTTTACATCATCCAGAGAAGTAATAAATGTAAGTCTCCGTGTACACAGCGCCTCTGCGGTGGCCGGCTGCCGGACACGCCTCTCTCGGCCACTCGGCTCCGGCCAGCATTGATCTGCCGTTTCTGGGCACTCGGACATTGGGCCGATTCACAGAAGAAACTAATTCCCCACCCGTCCGACGGGAGATTTGCAGCCGCCCAGAGCCGCGCCGCTGAAAGTTTGCCGTAAAGAGCGGCCGAATCTGGCCCAGGCTGGCACGTGCTATCTCCATAGTGCATAGGCGGCTTCTAGCAGCGGAAGTAAACTGAAGCCAAGTACATTCCAATATGAATGTGTGTGTCTTGTTTATTACCTATGTTTCAAGGGCGTTGCTAAGTTCAGTCCATTTCTGCGTTTTCGCTCAATTATTTATGTGTATTGTATGTACATTAGAAGGAGAGGAAATCTTTAGCCTGGGTAAAGAGACAGCTTCAAAACTCGATGGTGTGGGGCTCGAACTCGAATTCAGAACGATGTCGTTTGATGCGTTTGGCTGCTTGCTAGCAACCGGTGCCGAAAGCAACGGTAGATCTGAATGGTCCGTATCGTTATCATCATCTATCCCCGGTACACGCTTTTTATTATTGAAATAATTACCAGGAACCAGTTTACTGGAGACGTATTGTTTATAGTTTAGATACGTTGTTATAGCACTTCGCATTTTGCTTTGCTTAGCTGAAACACTCAGCCCTTACGAAGTCCACTCAACCGTACCATGCGTTACGCCAATACGCCTCAGCTGTAGTCCAATATGTTTGGATCAATTAATTATAACTCCCATATAAATTGCCTAGAACACTTTCAAAGTTACTAAAATTAACGAAAGTAATTGTTTATTAACAGATAGAAGCGCAATTAAGATAAGAACAAATAATGGCGTATGTACACAAATCAGTGGCTTAAATAAACTCCTAACAGCGTGACAATCGAGCCCTCATGGCCGCTCAACAATGCTAATACAATCTTCTGGCGCACTGGCGTTAATATTTCCATAGATAACATGAATCATATGTATTTACATATTTCATCACAAACGCGGTAGGCTACATTTCGGCAAAAATATCTTCGCATGATTCGCTCATGAATTATACTAGGTGCACAATGGTTTACAGCGCCAATTCAAGAAGCAGTCTAAAACTGAGTCCAAAACTGCTGTGACTTTCAATGGATATCACATCAGCTAACAGCCAGGCACATTCATCGATTACATACATTGGTAAGCACATGTCATCAATTCGCCTCTAATTGGCTCTCAAGTGAAAGATTCGCTTTAAAAAGTCAACAACAGCCAGCCTTCCATCGTTCGCTATCCACGAATGTACAACAGCCACACTCTCACTGTACCACCTTTTCTCGCCCTTCCCACCACTCACCGCCCATGTTCAGTTCCCGAGGACGGCCGAGACTGCGACCACAACTCCGAGCAGGACAGAGGGCACCAGGAGCGCCCCGCCCCGGGAGGGCTGCGGGCAGACGGCGTCCCGCACCAGCCAGCCCTGGGGCTCGACACCGGGCGGGTACCCAGTCGTGTTCCGCGTCTGAAAATACAACCGTACGTGGTTAAGGGAACGTGAGTAGATATATAGGTCTTTTGTGTGATCAGTGTTTTCAGTAATAATAGTGGATCCCGATGCCTCCCAGTCCCCATGCTTAAAGTGGTCTTTAGAGCTGAATACACAGGACGTGAAATATATCATGAAACGTCATCAAACGTGTAAAGAAGTGTGATGCTATAGTTAAAGGAAATAGTTCACTTTCACGAAATTATTTTTTTTTGCAACGATTTATTATTTTTTATGTTCAAAATAATCAGCAAAGAAAATAAAACCTTTTTATAACAAAATATTTTTTTCTCTATATTTTGATATAGGAAGAACTTTTCAGTTTCTGTAAGGCACACGCGATCCAGTATGAAAAGAGCATGGGTCCCGAAAATTCTTCAGAAACAGAGAAATTATCGCAGCCACCGGCATTTGGGCGATCTGCTCGATCTAATAATGTTCCCCTGAATGTCCTAATTGATCAGTACGAGAATTTCTCTAGAGTTCTCGTAGATAATTTCTCTAGTTTCTGAAGAATTTTCGGGACCCATGCTCTTTTCATACTGGATGGAAATATATGCAAGGCACACATCCTCAACGCAAGACACCTTTTCGGGACGAGAAATAGAATATCTTTGCCTAGGGTGATCGTTGGGCTGTAAAAGCTCCTGATTTATGCTCGTCTCAGCCCAAGCTACGGAACTGCTATTCCAGTTCAAAACCCATGTTAAAAAGTGAACTATTTCCTTTAAGTCTAAGCATTTTCGTCACCTCTAGGTCCTAACAACAATCCGGCTACCACACTTGCAAGCCTCACTGTTTCGAGGACGACTCGGCCGAATTCATAGCACTCCGGCACGTGGGTGCCGCGCCAGGCGACCTCACTCAGCGCCGTCAGCCTCTGATCAGACCAGTCCAGATCGTTGGCATACTCCTGCAGTGACAGCCCATTAAACTCGGCCGGAGACGTGACCACCAAATCGTGACGGCTGAGAAAGAACAGGGCGGGATACATGACACGGCTGAGAGATAATTGAGAAACACACGGGAGAAATGCGTGATGAAATCGTCACACAGAGGGGCGATTTATCGATTGGCGAATTCAAATTGCTCCGATAATTCCTCAGGTTTTGCATTGCACACCTGTTACGTATGTTACTCCTCCTCTGTCTCCACTGGGCCCATTGAAGACGGAGCAAACTCAACAGATTACGAGATTCGTTCTGGATACTATCCCGCAAGGCACGGCTGTCCGGCGGAACAGCATAACGCCTGGCTGGGTAGACTGTACCGCACCACCGCGCCGCTCGGCCGGCCGCCTTTGGACGCGCACTGCTGTTGCCATGGGTACTGACCCGTCGCGTCTGACCCCGCTGACCCCCAGGGCAGAGAGCAACGGCTCCTTCTGCGGCGTGCTGACACACTGCGCCAACTGCACGGCGGGGTAGTAGAGCATGAATATGACGCACATCTCCTCCTGGGTGGCCCGGCCGCCCTGTCGGCAGGGCAGAACAGAACAGTTATCGGGTGAAGCCATACGAAGTGAAATAACAAAACACATTTTGTAAGTGGATCTATATATACATTGTCATGGATTTATATCCATCGATAGTCTTATTGCCATGACACTTCATGCTTTGAAACCGACGGCGTTGTAAAGGTATTTCGGTGTCGTACATCTCGCGAGAATTATAGGAAAACAAAGCGTGACTTGCTGAAAATATGCCGATTAAATGAACGACAAACGAGAAAACTTGAACCGTCCCTCAACGAAGCAAGTTGTATGCAACAAGGGATCCGTCTAAAAAATACTAGTCCGCGTAAGCCAGAAAACCGGACGTTCTGTCTTTCTGCATTTCATCCCACAACTGCCCTGCACCGTCCCCTAGCCCTGTCGCCACTACCCAGCGCCACTACTGACCAGTGTGGCGTTCTGCCTCTCCGTAGAGCGGTAGACGCACTCGACAGTCAGCTGGTCGCCCCTGGCTACCCTCCTAGGGGGAACATGACGCAGTTGCTGGTAGTTGAAGTCGTAGTTGTCGTCACGCACGATAGATGGCAGCACCTCCGTGTTGCCCTGGAAGTGCCTCAGGCGGATTTGCCGGCCGAGCAGGTGGGTGTGCGGCAGCGCGGCGAACACGGTCACACCCGAGTCGGGCAGCGCCTGTGTGAGATGGTCATAATTAGTAAACGACTGGATAATAAAATCCATCGGACAGGAGCATGGACATAAGGCAACAATAAATTGTTATGAAACAAAAAAGAGGGAACATACAATAATCATTGCCAAGTTGCCTAGATTATTTATTTTGCTGGGCTAGGTCAGGCATCAGATAAGAAGAAAGGAGAGATTGAGAGAAAAAGCTTCCACCAGTTGGTGCGCCTCATGTGAGTCGTCGCCCTCTCCCCCTAGTCGTGACCCGTCTTCCAAGAACCGGTGACCCGTCCCCACCACCCGGTGACCCATGACCTCGTCCCCAGCCCTCTGGTAACCGCTGACCCCGTCCCCAGCCCTCCGGTAACCGCTGACCCCTCGCTCACCAGCTGGAGGCACTCGTCGGAGCAGTGGCCGGCCACGGGCAGCGTCCTCTGTCCCGGAGGAATCAGCTGCAGCTGAGACACGTCATGGCCGACGATGAGCATGGCGGCGTCCTCGCGTCTCGGCTGAGGCGTCAGCGTGAACTCGAGACCGCTGCTGTCCACCACTCCTGACGAGAGGATAGGCACAGAGGCAGGAGCGTGAGTCGTTAACAAGGACTGGAGTCGTATAGTTTGTCATCTAGGCTCTACTAGAACCGTTCATATATTCAATGATTTTGAGATGTAAATGTAGCATACGGCAACTGCACCTAACTACCAACTGTTTTTGAAATCCACCATGACCATCAATCAAATCACTTGTAACCAGCCATCAATCAGCTTACCAGCCACTATCGATCACCTCACCAGCCACAATCGGCCAGCTCACCCCAACCATCTGTCACCCCATCGATCACCATCGGTCATCTCTCCAGTCACCTGTCACCACTGGTCATCTCACCGGTTCTGTCCTGCAGGTCGTAGTGCGTCTCCAGAATGTAGAACTCGGCTCCGTGGTCGGGACCGATCGGGTAACCGGCGTCTGGCGGATACTCGAAGTCCTGTCAAACGCACTGTGTTTGTGACGGGATCATTTCAGTTGGACAAATAACGAAAATGTGACGCCTTACAAAGTATAAAGCACATGCGGACGCTGCTTACGTTACTGTTAAAAAACACATTTAGAGACACCGCTAAACATGACAGGTCCCCAGTCAGAAAATTGTTTGCTTCCCGACGGGACAGCGCGCATGTGCAAAGTTGCAGCGAACGATGCATTTTTTTTTTTATAAAACACGTGTGCACTGTGCCGGCAAAACAAACTTTAAAATATGACTCAATTTCCCCGCCATGCCTAACTTTTACACTTTTAAGTTTGCTTTCTGCTACCGAAAGTCGAGACAGGCGGCACGGAATGTGCTGGATCACTCGCCTCCCCACTGACGCGGAACACCCCATACAGCGATGGCCCCCCGACAGCCGCGCGCTGCGCTATCCTCTACCCAGTACCCAGTACCCACCTCCCCACCGACGCCCCAGCCGGCGATGGCCCCTCGACAGCCGCGCGCCGCCGGGGGCATATTGGCCGAGTAGCAGCGATAGCCGCCGCCGCCGCCGTCCGCGTGCACCGCCAGGTCGGAGAAGTCGTGACCCGAACACTGGTACACCAGCATGTGGTGGACGATACGCTCGCTGCCGGGCTGGATGAGCGGCCGGTACTGTCGGATAAATGGGGAAAGGTGAGATGGAGGGCAGGGAAGGGCACAGACGCAGGCTGCTGGGGCACGTCTTGCACGAAAGGTCTTGGGGGAAAAAACTGGGAATATTCATACTGATCAAATTGTGGAATGTCATTGTCATTGTGGACAAGATTTCAGACATTAAACCATGCATGAGTCCGCTGAAAATCGGCGACTGAAAACGCTCGGGACTGGAACGCTAGCTATCACGGTCACTGATGTCAGAAGTATGACTCAATTGGCTCTGTCCCGGATGGTATACGCGATGTTCCGGGGCCGAAAGACGGCTGTAGCGGTGACCAGACGCAGTACCAGATGGTGGGGCTGACTCAGCAGGAAATGATGCAGTAGAAGGCCCCAGCGGACCACGGGAAACAGAGTGATACTAAAGGAAGTTGTCGGCGCAGGCTGGTGGGAGGTGGAAAGGTCACCCGCTGGTCTGGTCCGGTCTGGACCAGCTGGTCTGGTGGTCTGGTGGTGCCCAGGGCGGCAGGATCAAGGGCAGTCAACACAAGAAAAAGGGGACAGCACAAGTCGGATTGAAAGCACGGTGAATGGAAGATTTAAACAAGTCTAAAGTAAGTAGAGCACCTACGAGTACATGTTAGTAGGCTAGTGAGTGGCCAGACTGGCCAAAGCACTGACTGGGTTGTTTGCATTTCCAAACAACGTTTTACGATTAAGCTGAACCGCCCGACTACCCTGCAAAGGCGGTAATATCACAGTCCAGTCGCGTTGCAGTGAGCCGTGCATACGTAAATTCGGCCTTGTTTCGCAACGACAGAAGTCTCAGGTCGAGGCGCCTGCGTAGTGGCTAGAACACACAGATTAAAAGGGTCGGGTGTGCGCTGTTCACCGCGCTCTTAAAAGCCTTTGTCCTAGCATACGTGCTAGCCAGCCATCTCACCACCCTGCATGTGAACTGACATTTGTTACGTCAACAGGGGCACGACATAGCTGACGCACTGCGTTACTTCCCGCATCCCTCGTTCGTTGCCGTTCTTCGTTAGGTAATAGCGTTGTTTGTCGTAGCGTTAACCCACCTTTATGACATGATGTTTGGTGGTGAGCTGAGGAGCGCGCACCACCCTGCACCAGTAGACGGTGCTCTCCGAGGGCAGCCGGGCCTCGTGCTGCACCACATTCCAGACCACGGGCTGGGCGGCGGCGGCGGCTGGGTCGCCGGGCGGGGGCGGCGGCGGCGGCGGCTGGCCGGCGGCCGGGTCCCTCAGGTGGATGCTGCGCTGGCCGCGGTGCTGGTGGCGCTGAGGGGACCCTAGCGGCTCCGGGTCCGACTCGTGGTAGGCGAACAGCACTCGCTGGGTGTCCATCTGTGGGAGCGGTCGATAATAGTCAGATGGCGACTCTAGGCATCGGCGCGAGTGATTCGCAGCAATGAGTTCGATGTTGCTCGCGTGAGGAATACCCATTGAAAGTTATTCAGCGAAAACACATTCATTACAAAATATGACATGCTTCGATCAACACTGTCACGCAGATAGGGGTTAACAACATCACACCGTTGTTATACTTCAATTACTTTAATTCATTGTTATTCCTACTCTGAACGCTAGACCAGATAATCGGTAAAGCTACAGTGTATTGGTAAGCCAAACATTCTGGGTCTCTTACGCACCACTGCACCCCACTAACCGTGATGTCTCTGTTCTCGCCTTGCACGGCATCGGGCAGACACGAAGGCGTCAGAGGTCGAGTGAAGGTCACCACCGTACGGGTGCTGTTTTCTGAGGCTGCCACCAGGTGGCTGACCTGACGCTGGTCGGCAATCAGCTGATACGAGTCAGCTGAGTGCATGTCCTGTGAACGACAACACGTCGCGACTTGGGTCATACACGAATATTGGACACAGGTAGCAGAGACGTCAATTTCTTTGAGTGATCAACAGAACCCTTTCACTAGGTACTTTATCATCGCAAGCAGTGAAAGCGCTGCGAGCGGGGACGGAACTAAAATCTGCTTACGACGATAACACACTCAATATGATTGGTATTTGGTAGTGAATCCTAGATATAGCCTAGATTAGTATATTCACCCACATGAAGGCACCGAGTTGCGAGTCGCAGTTACATGAGTACCATGATAAGCGTAAAGCGCATCCCGGTTTTACTCAAATGCTGGAGCGTCATGAATCCTTTACTGAGTACCAAGTGTACCAAAGCGGCTTGTACCGCTCAGAGCTCACCATTAGATAGGGCATGCCATCCTTCACACCGGCGACTACCATGTCCGAGTTAGCCATCGCTCCGGTAGGAGAGAGGCCGAATCCGACCCAGCCCAGAGTGGTCGCCTCCAGCTGAACAAACAACATACGCCCGTCAGCCACGGAAAACAGACAAGCCGAGTCGACAGAATGTCAGCATCGATCGCCGTGCCTGTCACTTTTCTTCACCGATATACACAGAGCAAGACCCTATATACCACGCAGAGGACACAAAGCTTTTGTACACGATAGAGATCCAGGGTAAATAAACGGCCTTGTCGAAAATGACAGATAGGAGATCGTACAAGTTCGATTTACACCGTTCTCTCTACCTGATCCGCCAATTTCAGAGGTTCAAGAGGTCAAGCCAAGGTCCTTGTAACATCCACATGAGATCAGCAGCATATCTAGTATCTACAGAGCTACATATCGGGACGAGCCATCAGCATCAGCGGAAGTCAAGATCAATTATTTGCTCATGTTTTTTTGTAGGATGATGCTCACAGTGTTTCTATTTATTCCCAAGTATTATGTTCATGCATGCCTCGTTTATCCTGGAGTTCGTTTATCGTTGAGTCGTTCTTATATTTTATCGTTGAGTCGTCTATAAAAAGATGAATTCGCAATTAAAGTTGATTGCTTGTCGAGGGTATATGCAGTTGAGTTCATAACGCCTGACGCCACTGACAACGCGTGGAAGTTGCAAGAGCCTTGGCCTGGGCTCTTGAACCTAAATGGACTACTTAAATTTAAACAGTAGGTAGGGCTCTTACACCTACACTATGACAACAAAAAGGTCCATAAAACGACAAGCACAGGAAAGGTACTGATCAGCGTTGCCCAGGGAATGCAGACACTACGGCTACTGATCACTGATGGATGAATTTATGAACAGTAGTAGTCAGTGAACGACACATATAACGGACGGACAACATGGGCCAGGCAACGATAAATACCTATAGCAGACGACAGTGGTCAGTAGCCGGCAAATACAGGGTGTCCGGAAAGTCCTGGCGCTTCTTTTGGACGCCGTGTAACGCGCGCTGTGATTATTGGACATTCAGCCAATCATCACAGACATGACCCCTCGTTGATTGCTCAGCCAGAGGTCGTGTAAATATGACCTTGAAATCGTTTTCAGTGATGGGTAGATGGGCGAAGATGCGCCTTGTCGCTGAATGCCTGCGCGCGGCGGCCGGGTGCGACTTGAACGAGGCTCGAGTTGCAGCGCAATGCGGCGTTTTTCGATGAATGGTTTAGCAGGTAAAGGCTTATTTCGACTCGGGAATTCCTTAGAAAATATCCTCAGACCGTTTCGAACGCGATATGGGAACGGAGCAGCATTTCAGCGCGGCAATCGAAGAAAGTGCGGGGGTCTGATGGACAAAAATGCCCCATCATCTTCGTCAATGTTGAATAAATGAATAACAGGCTGGCCCACGAGGGGTTCCTGGACAGCCACATCAACCCGAGGGTCAAGACGACATGCCCTAAGGGTCACTTCGCATTTCAACAGCACAGAGCACCCTCCAACAACGCCGCTGCCATTCAAGCTAAACTGACAGAGGAGCTTGCCGGGCCAGATCACCGTGGCGAAATGAGATCAGGCCGCCTTATTCTCCTAACCTGACCCGCTCGACTAAGGCGTGCTACGCGTTTTGTAGAACAGGATCTAGGCCATTTCTCACCCCAACCTGGAGTCGCTGAAGACTCGCATCATGACAGCATGGGAGGACCTGGAAATGCCCCGCATCGTCAAAACCCGCAAACGCTTCCTCCCCTACGTCGAGGCCGTCGTCGGCGCCGGCGATGGTTACATTGAATGAGCACGTAGCGGAAGCATGTGGCTTGGTGTCCCTGGTCATTGTTTTGATCCATTGATTAGTATCTATGAACCAATGGTATTTGTTTTAGAAAATGTTGAAAAGCGCCAGAACTATCCGGACACCCTGTATACCAGACAAAAATGTGAACGATGATGTGAACGATCAGTGAACGATGAAAAAATAGCAAAGGCCAGTGGCCGGTAAATATCAATATAAGACAACGGTGGTCACTGGTCAGAGAAAGACCACTATAACAGACAGCAGCGGGCGAGAGTGGCAAGTAAATATTAATAACGAACAGAAGTGACGGGCGTTAAAAAATAAGGTACCTAATGTAACAGGCAGCGACCGACGAACAAAGCAGCAGCTGGTGTCCGCTCTCCGCTCTTACCTGGCAGGTGAAGTTTCCATCGTGAATCCGCCACTGGATCCGCACGGATCCGTCGGCCGCCAGCACGGCCTCACTGTCCCATTTCTGCGCTGGGACCGCCGACAGCGACACGGTCAGGGTGGCCAGGGCCACCAGCACAGCGTCGAGCACCATACCGAACAACTGTCACCACAGCAGACAGCGGCGTGGTCCGGCGCCGGGCACCGAGTGGCCGAGACAGCGGACACAGAGCGCTCCGCAGGCCGGTTCCGCCGGAACAGGCGCGGATAGCGCCACCGCCAGCCTTCGGCCCGTCCGGCGGGCGGAACAGTGCCCACTGCCCACTGCCGTACCATACGGTCCGTCCAGCTGCCCCAGTGCCGTACCATACGGTCGGCACTGGGGTCGTATACCATACTGTCTGACCATGCCCAGTGCCGTACCATACGGTCCGTCCAGCTGTCCCAGTGTCATATACCATACGGTCCGTCCGGCTGTCCCAGTGTCGTATACCATAGACTATCTGACCATGCCCAGTGTCGTACCATACGGCGCGTCCGACGGGCTAACCCGTGCCCACTGCCGTACCATACGGTTCGTCCGGCTGCGTGACCTTACCCAGTGCCGTACCATACGGTCCGTCCGGCTGTGTGACCATAGTCATACCCAGTCCCTTTTAAATTTAGCGCCAGCCGCCAATGCTTTTTATAGTTAACCTTGCGGTGATTGAATTTCGACTCGTCAAGAAATAAGTCACCTTTATCCCAAAAAGGTATACTTCAGAAGACATTTCCAAAGATCCCCAAACAGGGTCGTTAAGAATAAATGTGCACGAGGAAAATACATTGCTTTCGACACTATAAGAAAAACAATCGTTTTTGTGCAGAAAACATTGCCATATTTAGGACAGAAACCCCAAAAGACGTTTATTACCCTAGATACTCCATGTGGCCTTGTTTAATTAGGCTTTGGTTTGTCATTCGTATTAGCCTATAGACGCCGTTATTCATTGGGGGTTTGATCCGGCCTTGACTGCGACGGCCATAATGATTACATAGAATCAGAGACACTTAGAAGGTATAGACAGTATTTGCGTGGCATAACTGAACGACCCATGCTCTTCAGTGCAAAATATTCAAACTACTATCTAGATCATGTTATGTTACCGACAAGAATCAGCACATCATATGAAAAACCTTATTTCAGCAAGATAAAACGACCAATTCTTGAAAAGCTTATGACGAAAAGGTAGGCACATCTCAGAGGCCATGACGTTTCTAATCGACACACAATGATACCATAATTTAGCGTTGCTTACCAGATGCATGCATTGCGTAGCATTATCAAACTGTTTTATGTGTTTGCTTTCCTTTTCTCAATTTCGTCCTTCAACAAAAGTGCTGCAACTTCCACTCTTCCAAAAGAAAATTCAGACAAGGAGCAAAGAAAACGCAACGACAATGAATCGAACTATTTGGGAACAACTTCTCTGACATCAATCGAACATAACATTGAAAACTACCCGGCAACTTTCAATAATGACTACAATTTGAGGAACTGGACTAAGGAACAGTTGACTACATTGCTGGAACAGCACGGCTACTTGGTAAAGATTGGGCACGGAGGCTGGCCTCTTGGGATGATAGGCGATGTCGCTTATTATCCCGAAGAACTGCTCCCAGAGCTCGGTGCAATGCACGAGCGACGAAACCTAATGGTAACAGAAAAACTCTGGGTAAACGGTGACGCAGAAACTATAGTGCCCTTTTACTATGACACAGGATCCCAGGCAGACCATGAGGTCTTTGAAGAAGCTGTAAAAAGCTGGGCAGACCATACTTGCATTAAGTTTGTCAAAAAGGAGCCGAACAGGTGCGACGTAGATCTTGGCCATGCCGCCGTTTGTGTGGGCAATTTCGGCGGATGTTTCTCGCTGCTAGGTAAAAAGTATGGACCAGGCAGGCGCTCCTCTCAACAAATGTCGGTGCAGCCCAATGGTTGTGAAAATGTGGCCGCAGCACATGAATTTGGCCATGCACTCGGGCTGGCCCACGAACAGGCAAGAGCTGATCGAGAAAAATACGTTTACGTTATTTATGAAAACATTGAAATTAACTTACAAAAGCTTGATGACAAAAGCATCATGAGTTTGTGGTATCAAGGGGGCCAGTGCAGTGCTGAACAAATGTATGATGCCCCAAAGCCTTACGATTCAATGTCGTTAATGCAATATGGCACGTCTGATTTTGGAGGATCGGACCAGCGTCCTGTTTATCTTCAAAGAAACCCCAAGTTTCAGTACATGTTTGATTACCACAGAGCAGCAGGCTACATGCAAACGCATTATGATAATTACATCGTAAATATGGGATATAAATGCATCCCACAATGGACAAAGAACTGTGAAGCAAGTGGCAAAAGTGTACCAAAGTGTCAAAATTACGGCTACGTCGGAAAGGACTGTAAATGTTTGTGCCCAAAAGGTTATTCAGGAAGCACATGTGGAACAAAGGATGGACCCTTGTTTCCAGTCATGGACAGAGCTAAAGCAATGTTAGACGTTACCAAGCCAGGTTTGGTGGACATGGAAGGCAAGGGCATGCATATTGAGAATCACAACTACCCAAAAGAGGATTTCACAGACAATCAGTACATCACCTTGGTCATTAAAAGCGGAGAAGGGACAAGGATACATGTCGATGTCATCCACGACTACGAAGCAGTCAAACGCGAGTTCGCGCGTTCAGCTGACTATTGGATAAAAAAGGGTCTTGAGTGTCGATACGCCTTTCGTTTGTACGTGGGTAACAATGACGCCGGCAAAATTCGGGTCGAGTGCATCTCGTCTATGATGAGCAACGAGCCAAAAGAAAGCCGTCCCGTGCTGCGCTCAAACACAAGCGAGCTGGATATGGTCGGTATGGGCGGCTGGGGCCTCAGTTACGCCGGGGGCCCACCCACTACAATGAAGGCCATGGAGTTCCAGTTCATGGTATCATTTCTGGACAGACCTGAGGACAAGCTTAAAATCGAGAACAAGAATCCAGGAGAAGTGGGCGAGGCCGCGGATCCCGCCGGATCCAACGGAACCACAGAGCCAGGGGAGAGCGTGAATGAAGCAGCAAAAGCAATAGCGGAAAATATAGAGAAGAGCAAAGTTCCCATCATCGTCGGAGTGGTCGGTCTGGTCTTGCTGTTGGCTGCGGGTGGCGGAGCTACCTGGTGGTTTAAATTCCGAGAGCCTCCAGAACTGGAGAAGGTGGAGGATCCCCAGCCGCCGGAGAATCAGGAGGAGCACTCCTCCTCGGACGACGACACGAGCGACAGCTCGGACTGAGAGCACAAACGGTGGTGGTGCTGCGTGAACGAGACCGTGCCGGCACGAGCCGCTCCAGTCCGGCGCTCTTGGTAACAGAGGCAGAGGCTAGGTACTATAGCGCTGACCTATGCGCTGAAGGACTTGTGTGGAATGATAATGAGTGTGGCCAATTCGCTAGTCCTGCGAAACGCGAAAGATAGAAACGATAACGAAGCTGGCGAAGTACTGCTAATGTGAATTTTCATGAATTGCAACTAGGGATACCATATTATTCCGCGAATGAATGAAACACGAAACGAACATATACCTATCATAGGATGGGGCAAATATTGATACGAAGGTGCATTACTACTTAGTCATGGTGTAGATGTGCTTACATGCAAGTACAGTATCTGATGATTGCTGGATGTATTTCATAGAACCCTCGAACTATCGCTCTTCGCTCTTCGCTCTTCTACAGACACCCTGGCCAGTGGGAAATGGGGCTCGGCTGGTGAGAACTTCAGATACATCTTGCCCCCAAATAATGCCGAGCTTGATGTAAAAAGAGTCAGCGCTGGTAACGAGACTCAGCAACCAGTATATCCACCTTTAAGGTCTCAGCTCCACTGGTGTACTCGTACCTATTCCGAGGTCAGGTCAAAGAGTCATAGGTCAAAATCTATTCTACTTTTGAAAATCAGAGATAGCAGTTTGGTAACCTTGTACAATGTGCATTATGGATCATCTCATGGAAATTAAATCCGCGCCGGGATGGGGATCGACGCTTTTCCACACCTCCAGGGAAAAATCGTAAGGGCTTACGATTTTTCGCGAACATCTAAAGAAACGTGGGTCACGACATACCTTATATCCTTAATGCGCTTGGTGTCAAAACTTCAGATTGGTATCGTTCTAGGGCAGGTGACTAGGTCACATGAAGTGACCCGACGTCAATAAAAATTTGAGGTAATTCAATGGGAGACAATTCAGCTGCGTTATTTTAGGACGAGAGTCGTACTAAACATTATCAAACATCGTGTGCCAGGTTAATATTAAATACTGAATCGGAAAACTGCATAGTGGATACGTTACGTGACCCCACGTTACCTGAATGAGGTCATATTGGGACTTGGGTCATAAAAAGTTCACCATCAGTTTTTCCTATCATATCTTTCGACAGACATGTTAGCGCAATAAAACATCTGGGATGTATTCAGCTCGACGATACAAATCGACTTACATGCGAGTGTGACATGACCTTTTCGACCAGGTCACAACCTTAAATCAAGTCAACTTTTTATTTGACTTTTAGGTCAAAATATCGCCTATTCGACGCGACTCGACGAATGAAACACGATGCTGGTAAATACGATGTCGTAACTGTGTTTAACCAACATTTTTTTGCAGAGAAGCGTTTAGGAAAAATGTCAATGCTGATAGCTTTTGCCATCGGAGACTCAACTCTTGAACTTAAAGGTAGTGTGCCACCTTTGAAAGATTTCCCATTTTATTTTTCCTAGGATAAGAAGCTTCTGTTTTTACCTAATATCGCAAAAAAAAATCAAAAATGGGCCTGGAATAGTGCCTTTTTCGCCTAAAAGTTTTTCGGTTTTTAGATATGTATAACAACTGTAGTGGGCTCACCTGCAAACAGGCGTCGGGCAACAATCGCGAATGCGGCGCACTTGTGACAATAAGCAAAGGTCATTATAGTGTTACGACCATACGACGTACGGGAATGAGTTATCAGCTGTCTAATCGTAGACAACACAATGTCGAGCCTTAAACTGTAAGCCCGTATTGGTATTGTTTCTTTTATTTGGCTGTCGAACATTATTTATGGTTTGAAATATGATTTTATGTAAAATAATTGATATGAAAAAGCCGTCTTATAAGTCATGACCCCATTTCATCACACGCAAGTGGCAGAAATGACAATGATCAGCTGACGCATTTTTCTTGGCCGAAGTCAGAGCGCGCGGCCCGACGCACCACGCGTATTTGGAAATTCCGACCTCGACGAGCATCAGAAGCCACCTAACAGGCGTGTTCGAAACCGCAGGAGATGATGATGAACGGGTTTATCGAAACTTGATTGGATGAGCATATCGGTAATAGCGATTTCAGTGTGTGCATTTATTGTTCATAGTGGTGTGAAATGTGGTTGGGGTACGACCGACAACCCGTCGGGGCGAATTTCGCACTGGGGTACTCAAAATTTGAAGAATTTAAGACGTTTCCATGAGTTTTGAAGGTATGGATAAGTTCTAAAAATCCGGTTCTCCTTATCTGGGCCATTAACTCCATACGGTCCAAGAAAGCTGGCACACTACCTTTAAAGGGACCCTCCCACCTTCAAAAAAGTTTATGAATTGGCATGAAAGTGATGTCGCTCGGTTCAGAAAGAGCGAAAACAAAATATCTACCAAATTTCACCGAAAAATATTCACCGGTTTTCAAGATTTTAGACTTTTACTTTTGTTTACTTTTTTGGGATCTCCGCTGTTTCTAGCGACTTTATTTTAGAAGTGCGGCGTTTGCGGCAGATGTTGCGCGCAAATAGCATATACCACCGCGTGCTACAAAACGTTTTAGTCAAACATTTAAAAATCGTTAGATATTTGCGCTGACGTCACACATTCAGAGGGGTATACCTAAGCATTAGCCCCTCTGAATCAAAATGCTGCAATTTTGAAATTCAATATTTCCGATTTAAGGCATTTCTCGATGTTGTGAGTGCCGAAACCGGTAATTGTGAGCCAGGGACCCCATTTTGGCTATCTCAACTCACATCTATGTAATGTTAAGGTGGGAGGGTCCCTTTAAGTCAAATCTGAGAACACTTAACCCGCGCCGGGCCGGGGGGTTTGAACACCCCCCTTGCGGTTTTTCGCAAATATCTCAAAAACGTTCGTGCATCTTTTCCGCACATGTTGTGAAAATTTCAGACCCAGGTCACCTTAGGTCAGGTCACCAGGTCACGCCAAGTGACCTCACCTCAGAAAAAATAAGAATGCTCGTCATAGCTACACCGACTGAACGATTGCCTTGAAACTTTCAGCGATTGATTAGAGCAACACTATCTATAAAATGTATATCTCGGAATTTTGATATCGGTGACCTAAGGTCAGGTCAATTTTGCGGCCTCTCCATTATAAGTCAATGGGAGAAAATTGAAAAGCGTCTGTTTTGCACGAACGCTATTCTAGACACTCTCAAACATCGAGATGTAGGTAAAATAGACACACTGAACCAGAAAATGGCAACTGTGACCCCTCGTTATGTCCCCGAGGTCATCTCAGGTCACGAACAGAATCTAACAGTTTTTCGATGATAACTTCTGATAGAGGAGTGCTAGAGCGCTGAAAACGCCTTAGATGTGTTCGGCTCGACGTTGCGGATCGTCTGATATGCAACATGACCTTTTCCGGTCAGGTCATGACCTTGACCTGAGGTCAAATTTTAAAGTTGACCTTTCAAGGTCAAATTATAGTTCATTCGACGCGTCTCGACAAGAGGAACACGATGCTGGCAAAAGAAATGTCATAGCTCTTTTGAGTCAAAAGGTATTGCCGAAAAAACGTTTTTCGTAAAAACGGCTATTTTTGGAGTTTTTGCCCTCTGGACGCTAAAGTGTTGACCTGAGGTCAAATCTGAGAACATTACTCAGAAAGGTCTGTAAAAGGGCTATCGAATGCGCTTTTTTGCGGCGCTGTAGCTCTATCGGTTCCCGAGATAGCCGTTGGCAGTTTCCAAAATGTTGAAATAGTCAACATTTTACCTTTGGTGACCTCTGATGACCTGACCTTTGACCTGACCCAAAAAATGACCGAAGTGTTTTCGTCCTTATTTTTGACGTTCTTTCGATTGCCGCTTACCGCGTGTCGCTACGTGGCCCAAGAGCCGAGTTAGAAGGGGGGTGTTCAAACACCCCCCCGCGGCCCGGCGCGGAATCTCAGAGCACCGGCCCGGCGCGGGTTAAAATAATGAGCTATTAAAGAACTATCGAATGCTTTTCCAGGACATTCCATCTCTATTAGTTAACAAATTATGCGCCATTTTGTTTAATATTCTCAAAGCCGGGAAAATTTGACATTTGATGACCTTTGGTGACCAGATCTATGACCTGACTGAGAATAACTGAAGTACTTCAACTGAAGTATTCACATACTTTTCAAGCTTTTTGGAGCATTTCGAATGCCGCTTGCCACGTGTCGCTACGTGGCCCAAGAGCAGATTTGAAGGGGTGGATAATATGAAAAACGCCCCTCCCCTGCACCCCAATGGCCAACGTGCTACGATTCGGCCACCACCCCGGTGCGGGTCAAAATTGTTCCCATTACATGATTGCAATAGAATAACATTTTGCATCTAAATCGAGCGGGCATGATGCCACTCGTTCTCTCAGCACAGTGCCGGTGGCAGCCCAAAATGCTGCGAAGACGCACCCTGCTGCACGTGTCATAGTCATGCAGTCCTTGTTTCCCACCACTTTGAAATAGCATTGCCTACAATACATGGCTGCACTATTCATGTGTAAAAATATCACAGCCCTCTGTTTTCAGTTCGTCGGATCGGGCGTTTATGAAACTTGAGCACGGAGCGTATTCGGCACACATTATTTTTAGGGCAAAATTGAGTTTGAGCCCCACATCTAAACGAGGTTAATGGCCTACTCAGAAGCCTGAGCAAGTGAAATGGATTTGTAGAAAGACATCTACCTCTCCAATCAGGGTCGTTAAAAATAAATATGCACGAGAAAATGCCACATCATGAATTTCTAAGGCACAAATAAACGTGTTGTGCAAGGTGTTTTAGCACCTGAAGTACTAGAATCGTTATTATTATCACAATCAAGACATTTCACATTGTAGGTTCGCTTTTAAGTTGTATGAATTCGGTAAGCATGAGTACTACAGAAGCGATGACCGTATCGGCATCGAAATAATTGTACCAACATGTGATTGCGGGATGAAAACTTGATTCGGTGACAAGGCGAAATTATGTTTAATTATAGATAAAAAAATTGACAACTTCAATAGCCAAATGAAATATCAAGATCAAATTATATTCAAAACTAGGGCAAGCAAATCTCTTGAAGCACATTTAATATCAAAGAAGCTGAGCAATTGGCCAGACCAGAAAAACCTTAAACTTAGTGGCACAGTGTAGGCCATTCTTAAGCATGACGAGCCATTATAAATTGATTTAACGTTCTTGATCATATTATTAAGAGATACAGATGTTCTTCCACTATTTCTTGGTAGTTATATTGTGCAGCAAGAGTGGCATACCTTCTATTTTTGCTGCGGAAGGTCTTCAAATGCAAGCAAAAACATCCAGCTCTGATGAATCCACCAGCTTCGATACAATTTCTTCATCATCAACTGAACATGATACTGAAAACTACCCTGAAGACTTTAACGATAAATACCAATCACGAAACTGGACCAAAGAACAGCTGACTACATTGCTGGAACAACACGGCTACTTGGTAAAGATAGGACACGGAGGCTGGCCTCTTGGGATGATAGGCGATGTCGCCTATTATCCGGAAGAGCTGCTCCCCGAACTCGGTGCAATGCACGAGCGACGAAACCTACTGGTTACAGAAAAACTCTGGGTGAACGGTGACGCAGAAACTGTAGTGCCCTTTTACTATGACACAGGATCCCAGGCAGACCATCAGGTCTTCGAAGAAGCTGTAAAAAGCTGGGCAGACCATACATGCATTAAGTTTACCAAGAAGGCACCCAACAAGTGCAATGTAGACATTGGTGAAGCCGCCGTTTGTGTGGGCAATTTCGGCGGATGCTTTTCGCTGCTAGGTAAAAAGTATGGACCACGCATGCGCTCCTCCCAGCAAATGTCGGTGCAGCCCAATGGATGTGAAAATGTGGCCGCAGCACATGAATTCGGCCATGCCCTCGGGCTGGCCCACGAACAGGCAAGAGCAGACCGAGAAAAATACATTTACGTTATTTATGAAAATATTGAAATTGACTTAAACAAACTTGATGACCGAAGCATCAAGAGCTTATGGTATCAAGGAGGCCAGTGCAGTGCTGAACAAATGTACGATGCCCCGAAGCCCTACGATTCAATGTCGTTGATGCAATATGGCACGTCTGATTTTGGAGGATCGGACCAGCGTCCTGTTTATCTTCAAAGAAACCCCAAGTTTCAGTACATGTTTGATTACCACAGGGCAGCAGGCTACATACAAACGCATTATGACAATTACATCATAAATATGGGATACAAATGCATCCCACAATGGAAAAAGAGCTGTGAAGCAAGTGGCAAAAGTGTACCAAAGTGTCAAAATTACGGCTACGTCGGAAAGGACTGTAAATGTTTGTGCCCGAAAGGTTTCTCAGGAAGCACATGTGGAACAAAGGAAGGGCCATTGTTTCCAGTCATGGACAGAGCTAAGGCAATGTTAGACGTTACTAAGCCCGGATTGGTGGATATGAAAGGCAAGGGCATGCATATTGAGAATCACAACTACCCAAAAAAGTCGTTCACAGACAATCAGTACATCACCGTGGTAATTAAAAGCGGAGAAGGCACGCGGATACATGTTGAGGTCATTCACAACCATGAAGCAGTCAAACGCGAGTTCGCGCGTTCAGCTGACTATTGGATAAAAAAGGGTCTTGAGTGTCGATACGCCTTTCGTTTGTACGTGGGTAACAATGACGCCGGCAAAATTCGGGTCGAGTGCATCTCGTCTATGATGAGCAACGAGCCAAAAGAAAGCCGTCCCGTGCTGCGCTCAAACACAAGCGAGCTGGATTTGGTCGGTATGGGCGGCTGGGGCCTCTGCTACAATGGGGGTCCGCCTATCACCATGAAGGCCATGGAGTTTCAGTTCATGGTGTCATTTCTGGAGAGGCCTGAGGACAGGCTAAGTGTCAAGGCTAAATATCCGGGGAAGGTGGGAGAAACCGTGGACAAGGCAAAGAAGGCAATAGCGAAACAGCTGCAGAAGAACAAGGTCCCGATCATCGTCGGAGTGGTCGGCCTGGTCCTGCTTTTGATCGCAGCCGGTGGCGGTGCTACCTGGTGGTTCAAATTCAGAGAGCCCTCAGACGAGGACGATTCCAAACCGAAGAGCAAGAAACACGTGTCTTCCGACGACGACACAAGCGACAGCTCGGACTGAGAGGACAAACGGTGGTGCTGCTGCGTGAACCAGGCCGTGCCGGAGCGGGTCGCTTCAGACGGGCGCGCTCGGTAACAGAGGCGGAGAGTATGTTTTATGACGCTTAGCCGTAAATGCTGAGTGATTGATATGGCATGAGACGTGATGGTCCTAGACTAGCGCTTCGAACAACGAAACTCGAATGATCGAATTGAAACCAGGCTGTAACGAAGATAGCCTGATGTTGCATGGTGTAGAAAAGGGTACCTGAATACATTTATAACTGATATCTATCAGCGAAGCAGGCGTATATTGCAAGAATTAGAAATAAGACGCCTTCTACACATAACATTTTCAATGGAGGTAATACACAAGAGCGCTTTCCGAGGGAAATGCGTCTTTTTCGGTTCTTGCCTTCTGGAAGTCAGACTATTGAGCTGAGGCAGAAAGAAGCGAAAGGTTACATCGGCCACTAAATTTTGAAGGGTAATAAAATCTCCTGTGATGTTGCCCTTTTAACCCGCGCACCGACGGGGGGGGGCGGATATCCGCCCCCCCTGAGGTTTTTCGCGAATAGCGGGAAAACCGCGGCGCGTAGCGCCGCGAAATTTGGTATGACTATTCCCTCATCAATTTTACACATGGTGTGCAAGTTTGAACCTTCTACCTTTTAAGGTCAGGTCACCAGGTCACTTTGAATGACCCAACCTCAAGTCACTTTTTTGCAACTTTGTCACCGTGCCAGAGCTACAGTAGATGTCGGAGGCCTTTGAAAGTCGCAGGATGTTATAAGGTCATTAGTAGCTACAATTTGTATATCTCGGAATTTTGATATCGGTGACCTAAGGTCAGGTCAATTTCGCGACCTCCCCATTATAAGTCAATGGGGGGAAAATCAACTCCCTATTTTTACCACTAAAACGGGTCGGAATGGCCCCATATACCATACATGACTTCATATACGATCAACCTTCACTACCTTGAGGTCTGTTTTGCTGTTGGGCAGCTGTGAGGTCATGTGACGTCATCAAAGGTCACCAAAGGTTTTTGGCCAATAACTCCGTACAGGAACAAGATACAGCCGCGTGGATGGTCTCATTGTGTTCAGCTCGTCAAGACGCATCGAATGATATGCATGATGACCTCGAGGTCACGTGACCTGAGGTCAACCTTTGACCTTGACCTTTCGAGGTCAACATATATATCATTCGATGCGGATTGACGAGAGGATCACGATGATGCCCTTACTTTGTTCCTATCTTGACTAATTCGAAAGTTATTCGAGAAAAACTCTCCATATCTAGCGCCGCCATTTTGACTTTTTTGACCCCTGTGACGTCATCTTTGACCTGACCTGAAAATGACCTTAGTAAAAATTGTAGATCTTGACCGTGCGTATCCGATGCCGTTTACCGCTTGTCGCTATCTTGCTTCGTTCTCGAGATCTCAGGGGGGGGGCGGTCATCCGCCCCCCCCCCCCCGTCGGTGCGAAGTTGGCGCAGACCCCCGTCAGTGCGCGGGTTAAAGATATTTGTTCATTTACATGTCTTGGTTCACGGGTAATGATCTTATTTATAACATGTCAACCATGTTAAACTGGCATGACGTCTGATGACCTGTCGTAAAATAGGTGAAGTACTTTCTCAACAATTTCAAATGATTCTGAGTTCTGACCTTTGGAGCCTATGCCTCTCGCCGAATTCTGAGTTCTATTGCGTTGTCAAGCCTGCACAATGCACAATATAAGGTATAAGGATTCATGACGAGCCCCAAATGTCAAACTGAAACTGCCAACTGAGCACGAAAGTGCTCACGAAAGATTTACATAATTCATCAACAATTGTATTCATAATTCAGCAATACAACTCCAGCCCCAGTGACCCCCCCGGACGATACCGTCCACCCCCGTGACTGACCGGCGTCCTATTTGGGCCGGCGTCGGGCGCCCATCCGCCCGCCTCCTGACGAGCCGCGCGCCCTTCGGCCGGCCAACAGCGCCGACTCATCCATCGGCTTGATGACGGTGCCGGCGCGGATGCTGACCGCCGGCTGGGTCAGCTGCTCGTGCGCGCGCGCCGGCAGCCACGTGCGACCGATCGGCGCCCGTATGGACGCCTCAAAGGCGGCGACTGAGCCGCTGACGTAGTGCGGCAGCTCACTGGGCTGGTGCGCCCGCAGAGCTTCATTGCGCTTCTCGCTGAGGATCACGTGACCGAGGTGGTGGTCCTTGCGCTGGGGGCCCTTGGGCGCTGTGGAACGAGACGGGCGGGGGTGTCAGCAATAAGTAATATCGAGTGCCGACGGGTGCCACGGCTATATCATGGGTGCAGGGGAAAGGAGAGGCGGGACCCGCTGATATAGAGACATGTCTGCAGGCCACTGGCGAGCGGCACTCGTAAAAAGCGTCACAGTGCACCCGGTACAGTCTCAGGGATGGCAAAAACAAAACAAAACAAACAATGTGGTGATTCAAAGTAAATTGATGTCTGTGATATAGAAGTGGGGGAGAGGGTTATAGATAGCCTAGAAAAGTGCTTTAAAAATAGAGCACAGTATGCCGATGCTACCGGCACCTTTCCCATTAATAGAGACAACACAGAGCTGATAACAGTCTCGCTCACCAACAGGTAAAATGATCGTGCCAGTGATTCCAACTACATCGCAAGGCACCGTAAGACGGCAATCCTGCCATGATAGAATGCCCCACAAAAACTCACCCTTGAACAGGAGTCGGCGGCGCTTCTTGGCCGACATTTGGATGTTTTTGCCGCCCCAGTCGCCCCAGCCGGGCAGAGCCAGGTCAATGTCCTTCGGCTTGTCCGCGTCTATTGTGGACTCCTTCTCCTCCCTGGGAACAAAAGGGTAAGTTATGCCGATGGCCTGGTTATGGTAATTAGTAACTCATCCATAAATGAGAAAAAACGAAAAAGATTACAAAAAAGCGAGACTGAACGAACTGTCCACATGATAGCAGTGGCAATGTCGCCATGGTTATGTATATGGACACATTAATTAATAGCATGAAAACCGTAGCTATCGCCAGGAGAAACAACAAATCCCACAGACCTGAACTCCGCCACCACGTCATCGTCGGCGAACGCCTCCGCCATCGTCATCCGGGCGTCATCGGCGTCATCCAGGGCGTCATCGCCACCTGCGTCATCGCCGCCGGGGCGCAGCGAGCGCAGACGGCGCGTCTCCACCGCCATAAATTTGGCCGGGTCCAGCTCCGGCGCCGAGCGGGCGGGCGCGCCGGGACCGGAGCCGGGGCCGGGAGCGGGGTCAGCCTCAGTCTCCGCCACCAGCTCCTCCGCTGACGGCTGAGGAGCTGCCTTGTCCCCCACCAGACCCTCAAGCTCCTCCATGGTGGCCCGTCGCTCCGCAGAGACGTCCATCTTTTCCGCCTCGTCACCGGACGGAGGCTCGTCTTCATCTGAGCCGGACTTCTTCGCCTTCTTAGCTGCTCCCTTCTTCTTCTGCTTCTTTTGTTTCTTGGCGGAGGGTTCGTCGCCGTCTTTCGAGAGTTTCGCTGCTTTCTTGGTCTTTTTGGTTATTACCTTTTCATACGTGTCAAAAATACCATCAATATCTTGGGCTTTCTTCGCACCCTTCTTCAGCTTTTTCGTCTTTTTCTTTCCCTCAGTCTGGGCATCCGCTTTCCTTTTCAGCGCCTTCCCCTTTTTCCCCGCCGGCCGCGGCGGCTCCTCGCTCTCGAGCGGCTCCGGGTCGGCGTCACTGTCCGGCTCGGCGGCAATATCAGCGGCAGTGACGCGCGGCGCCGGCCTGTCCTCGTCCTCACTCTCCTCCCTGTCCTCCTGAGCGTCCTCCTCCCGCCGCTCTGCCTCCCGCAGGCGCCGTTTGGCCGCCTCCTGTTCCGTCCAGAACTTATCATACCGTCCGTACGTGTCAGCGACGGAGTCGGCCGCAGAATCGGCCGCCATCCACGGATTACTGGGGTCGGTGGGGGCGACGGCTGCCGACGCCACCGGTCCCTCCTCACCCTCTTCTTCCTCTTCGTCCGAGGAACCGTCCTCTGCCGACTGGGCCGTCTTCTGAGTCTTCTCGCGGCCGATACGGAGGTTTTCCGCCAGCGCCTCTCGAGCCTGCGGAACACATTTTTAACCGGTAAAGGTGCAGCCCGAGGTTCCATAGCACATTATTTCACCATTTAATTTCAGCATCTATTATTCCTTTTATCCAACGACCAATAAAGAATACTGAAAGGGAGACCATAAAACAATTTGGCCTACAGCGTTTGAGCTCGACTGAAATAGATGGTCCATCCGGCAAGTAACAAGACAACAAAGACAGGCGAAGCCGACAACCCCTCGTTGCCACATCCTTCTCCACCCGTCTCCCTTACCGCCGGGTCGTATTTGCGTTTGATGGCCTGCAGCCGTGCCCATTTTCCGGTGTTCTTGTGCCGCTGAGACATGCGCTCCTCCACGCGCTGTTTCTCCATCTCACGCAGTTTGGCCAGCGCCGCTTCCGGGTCGCAGATTTTGAGCTGCTCGAACTCCTTGAGGTGCTGCTTCAGTCGCTCCTTTTTCAGCACACGCCGGTACCTGGACGGCGGGCGGGGTGGGGAGTTCTTATGTGAGAAATAGAGGACCGCCGGAAATAAGCTGATCCAAAAGGAGCAGATGGTGGTATAACTATACAGGTAGGTATAAAAAGGGTAGCAGCAAACAAAAAGGAGAGCCCCCACTTTTTAACCAGAACGAACACTGATGCGAACGGCTTCTAACAGCTCTGATGCCTATCGCACTTGTTCAACACAAGTTATGCTACTGAGTGAACTAGAATAAACGCAATGGGTCACGTAAACGTTGAACGTTCACGTGCAACGCCTGACAAATTGCAAATGACGTTCTACTAGCGCCACATACGGCACTGTCCCACGCCACTCACTTTCTGCTTTTGATTTTGTTCTGTCGGCGGTGTTTGGCCTCCTGGTAGGTGAGCAGGGCGCGGTGCTTGGCCAGCTGTTTGCGCCTCTCCAGAGCCTCGTCCAGCGACATGGCGGCCAGCGCCTGCCGCTCAGCCTCCGAGAGAATCTGTCCGGCGGGCACCACGGCCGTGCTGCCGCCCAGCAGCGCCGCTATTTCCTGCTCCAGAGGTGTCTGAGGCTGGAAAACGGACACGGCGCGAGTCAGAGACGCTCAAAGAGACAGGAGATCAGACACAGACAACTGGCGCCCGCACAGACACGGTCGGGATTGATCAAATTCTACCTAATAGTCTACCTTATATCAGGGACAGAGATGCAGAAAATGAGGCTATGACGCCCACCAGATTCGAGGTTCGAGATCAACAGACATGCATAGACCCAATAACACAAATTAGAGACGAGCACAGACTTGGGGACGCGGAAGAAATGCCGGGCACAGCTAGACTGGCACACAGACATCACACAGAGACAGACGCTTCTTGAGTCCGTCCTCTGCTACCGACCACGTCACTCACCACGAAGGCGGCTGTGCGCTCCGCGGACGTTTCCAGTCCGATGTCGGGCTTCTCCAGCGGGAAGCTGAGGTGCTCGGCGCCGCGCCGCTGTTTCACCACGTTCTCCCATCGGGTCACCTCCTTGGTCGTCTTCTCGTAGCCGGCCTTACGCTGGACCTGGGGAAGGACAGGGAGCGCAGCTGTCACAGCACAGTAGCATAGCGGAAGCACGGGTAACGTGGGCTACAACAAACAGTATCAGCAGTCAACGAAACAACTGGTAGGTTGTCCAACTGAGGAATTCCTCACGAAAACAGCCGTTCGGGCATCGCGGAACGCGAGAAATCCCGCGAAATGGGCGTGCCCAAACGGGCGTTTTCGTGAGAAATTCCTCGGGGTAGAAATTGCACGCGAAAAACGGCACGTCCGAACGCATGGTAAATATCGCTTAGTTTATTGGCGATATTTTCATCGCCAATTAGGGATAAAATTATAAAAAATAAATTTTGAGAAAATCGAGAAAACTTGGTTGTTCTCAGGTAGCCACGGATGCCCAGAACCCAGTTCCTCTTTTCTACACCATCCACTTACTTTGAGCGCCTGCGGTTTCTCGAGCGGCGCCGGCAGCTTGCGCTGGTGTTTGGCGCGGTTCACCTCGCGCCGGAGGCCGGCGTGACGCGCCTGGTCGCCCAGACTGGTCAGCAGGTCGTGCACGTTCACACCGGCGTCCTCTGCGGCCGCCATGTGGAACTCGGATATCTCGGGAGCAGCCTCCGAGCGCTGTACGATCGACCTGCGGGGCACGGCATCACCGCTGTCAGATACGGGAATATTGGCAAAGCAGTTGAGCAGCAAGATACCTAGTTCACACTCATCTTATCTTTTATAACAATCTAGAGTTAAAAAAGGCATTATGGGCAATGGGCATTCATGCACAAACAGATACATCAAAGGTACCTATGCAAACGCATCTCATAACTTTACATCAAACATCTCAAATAGGTGACAAGGAGCATAACAAGAACAACAACACATAATTTTGCTAGTTATTCGGTCGACAAAAGCCATTTTCTTCGTGCCCATATAGTGTGCCCTACCTGCCGGCGCGTTTCGAGTCGAGTCGGTTGATATTCTGCAGAAGGCGGTCATGTGAGGCGGCCGGGGCCTGGTCGACCTCCTCATCCCCAGAGGCGTCATCGAACATGACGCCGCCGACGGCATCCGTCTCATCCAGCTCCAGTCCTCCGTCCATGGCTGATAGACTCTCTTGAATAAGTAGTGACTTCACGGCGCCTCTAAAAAAGGCAACCTTGAACCTACTGAAGCTCTGACACGGACGTGACAAAGCTGCAAAAAGGTGATTTGAGGTCGGGTCATTCAAAGTGATCTGGTGACTTGACCCTGAAAGGTAGGAGCTTCTAACTTGCACACCATGTGTAAAATTGATGGATGAATAGTCAAGCCTAATTGTCTGCTATTTATGAAAAACCTCAGGGGGGGGGGGGATATCCCACCCATTTGAGCACGAGTTTACCCGCCCCCGCTGGGACTCCTGGAGGCTGGATTTCCACGCCCTGCAAGGGGGTGTTTGAACACCCCCTTCTAAACCGGCTCCTGGGACAAGTAGTGACACTCCGTAGGCTGCATTGGAAAGTGCATCAAAAATAATAAAGAATTTACTTCCATCACTCGTCAGTCAAGTCAAAGGTCAGGTCACCAGAGGTCATCAAAGGTAAAGTTTTGCCAGTTTCCAGGTCAAGCTTGGACATTTTTAGCTGGTGTATACCTCAGGGCTCAGGAATGGATAGTGAGATGACCTCTGGGGCATAAACAGGGGTCACGGATACCATTTCCATGCTCAGTGTGTCTTAGTTACTTGTAATTCAGTGCTTCAGAGTGTTCATAATGACTTTTGTCCAAAAAAGGCGCCTTTCTATTTTCTCCCATTGACTTGTAATTGGGAGGTCGCAAAATTGACCTGACCTTAGGTCATAGATATAATCAGGGGTGTCGATTTTTCAAAATGGTTGGGGGTGCTCAACCCCTGCACCGGGTGAAAGATTGCAGCTTTGCCATGGGGCATAACCGTACAAGGCATGGTTGGGTAGCACCATAAGGTGCTGATAATCCCGGGATTTCCACTAATATTTCCCAAAGGTTGAACGTTCTTCAAAATAATTCTGCTCGTCCTAGTACTTGGCTACCTCATTACATAAACATCTTTCCGAAAAAACGCGTACATTTGCCGGCAGCTCGGCAGCAGCCCCGGCACCTCTGTAATAAGGTGACAAACCGGTGACCGCGATTAGCACCGGTGCAGCAGCCCCTGCGGTCCACAGGGGCGGACATTGCGCGGGAGGCAACGGTATAGCTACGAGGCTCTGGCGTTAATCAGACGATCACAATAATCGTTGAAAAAAATGACAGGTGATCGCATTTCGATATTTATGGGTTTACGATTTTCCTCAGTGGCGTAGCCAGGTGGGCCCGTGAGGCACATGCCCCCCCCCCCCATCAGGTGCAGGGGCCCATCGAGTTATTCGGGCCTGAGGGGCCCTGCGGCGCCAATTGGCCGGTGAGGTTCCACGTGTGCTATATTTGGACTCAGAAGGGCCCCACAGGGCTCGTAAGAACACCTCATGGGCCCACAAGTACCAACATTAAGTTCTCCATAAGGGCCCCAAGCCAGCCTCTGAGGGCCACTTGCCGGCCTCTGGGGTCTTAACCGGCCTATAGGGGGCCAGCTCTAGGAGCTGCACACCCGCCTGTAACGGCCCCACACCATTTCTCTGAGGGCCCCTAAAACGGCCCCTATAACGGCGACTGTGAGGGCCCTCACCGGCGCCCCTGAGCGCCACACCGGCGTCTCTGAGGGCCCCACACCCCTAACTCTAAGGCCCTACACCAATGCCTTTAAAAACCCTACATGGGCGGTTCTGAGGGCTCTTGTCAGTTACCAGCGACCCTGACGGCCCCACACAGGTGACTCGGAGGGTCCCAGCGGCGTCTGAGCGCACCATGCCAGTCTCTGAGAACCCCACACCTCAAAAGGCTCCTGAAGGCACCGGTGACATCTTGATATCTTCTTCTCGGCCTATGAAGGGTCCGTTCCGTAACAGCAGCTCTGAGGGCCCCACGCGCCTGTGATGGCCCTAAACCACGTGTACGACGGACCCACACCAGTGTCTTTGCAACTTAACGTCTTTTTTTGCCCTTCTTCTTAACCCTCGCCCGTAAACGGTGTTTTGCCACCTTCGCCCATGGAGGGGGGGGGTTGGTGCGACCCCCCCCTGGCGTTTGAAAACGAAGCGTCGTAGAGCTTAGCGCAAAACACCAACGGATTGCTCTCAACGAGACCTCGCGATTGGTGGTATATTTTTTGGTCCTAGGTCAACATTTGACCTACTTATGACCGGTCAAAGGTCAAATTTTCGAAAAAAAATCTAACTTTTTCAGAGTTCCGCGCCGATTGCGGCAAAACGGTAAGAGATATCGACTTGAAACCTTCACTATCGTGATCCTTGATCAATTCTCTATCGTTTGGTGTATATTTCGATGTCATAACTAAAATGATGCGTTGGGAGCATCGGAAGTCTGCAAGGTCATTTGTGCATTGGGTCACGTCAGGCGTGTGACGTCACTGACCTGACCCAGACCCTGACCCAAAATAAACAACAAGAAACAACCGACGATGCCTGAAATGGATAGCAAATTCGAATTCAGGGCATCAAAATACCCCGAAAAGGCATACAAGTGCAAGAAGTCATTAGAGGTCAACCGAGGTCACTGACCTTACCTTGCCCTTTAGTGACCTTCAAAATGTCAACGGACATTGTGTCAATGTCAAATCAGCCAGTTGTGATTCTAAAACAATCCATCAGTGCGTCAGGTCAGTCGGCATTTATACCAATGTGAAACAATCTCCAATTTAGCGTAAATCTGGCCGGAGGTTGTTCCCTTTATGACGTGATAACTCCGTGACCCGACATGACCTTGACAAAAAATTCTTACCAAAAGTTGCGCAAAGGATGCCCCAAAGGGTACTGAAAATTTGAGCAGGCTATCTGAAACGGTTCGGCGTGTAGCTAAGAAAAACCTCAGGGGGGGTTGCACCCCCCCCCCCCACATGGGCGAGGGTTAAAACTAACTTTTCTTTTCTTTACATCTTTATTTCATGCCTTGTAAATTGCGTAATTGTTTCATTTTTAGAAGTGAAAGACTGCAGAACAATTATTTTCCTCAAGCAGAGTTAGTGGGAGTTATTGAGGGACAAAATCATTGGGGGGTGCCCGGAAAACCATTGGGGGTGCCATTTTTGAGCATCGGGGGTGCTGCAGCACCCCCAAAGGTATACAAATCGACACCCATGGATATAATCAAAATTACTTCCAGTATACCTACTTTGCTGGATTGCTTAGTGTCTCCGTGGCTTAGGGAGAATATCTATCGCTTTCAAGCAGGCAGAAACTCAATATAATATTTGCAATAAAGCATAAAGTCAATAATTCACCAAATACACAACACGCGCGCACCCCTTTCGCACGCTTCGGGCTCTGGGCCCTGTTTCACCGGTGATAGCAGCACGCTGCTCTCACGTTTCGCGAGCTGACGTCATGTCATGACAGTTGGGCAAACTACGGGGAGGTAATCAAGAACTTGATTAATCAAGTTCATGATTATTTTATGCCCATATTTGGTCATGTTTGCAGCCCGTCACGAAAACGGCCGAATCTCGATTCAGGGTCTACGGAGATGCACGAAAATTTTAAGACCGATAGAGAAGAAGTCACTCTACAAGTGTAATCTTTGAATGATTCAAGTTGAAAATCGTGAGGCGGTAGATTGCAACCAAAACGTAATCAACAACTTGATTACGAGGCGTCGTCCCGGGAGTCCGATGATCAACTTCTTGATTACGCAGCCAGCTGGCTAATCATGATCTTGATTTCGCATTCAGCTGGCTAATCACGATTTTGATCGCGCTGATCGTGCTACTGGCGACCGTTGAACAATGCAGCTAATTAAAAGATGCAATGGTAATGGTGTATATAATAGACAAAATCAATCAGTTTTGGTGGGATGGAATTTATGTTGCAGTTAATGTTTCTCATGAATGACTTGACCGAGCCTGTTCAAATTTTGTGTGTGGCTGGAAGCGGATTAGCTATAAGCTTTGGACGAATCGGGGATAGGATATATTTGCACACGCGCACCTTATTTCTGTATCTCCGGAACGGCGTCACCGATTGTTTTTCAATTTTGGTGGGTGGCTAGAGACTCAATAGCTGTAAGCTTTAGACGAGTTAGGGATGTGGCACACACATGTGAACTTGTGCACGAGCACACCTCTTCTCGCGCTTGCTCGCTCACATTGCCGAACACGGAGCTGAAAAAAGACCACCCCGAGCAAGAACACCGCTGTCCGCGATAAGCGGCCTGACCATAAGTCAGCTCAAATGATAATCTGCATACGACCGTCGACCACATATATTGGACGAATAGCGTCACAACCCAGAGCCCGTGTAACCAAGCACAGATCAAAGATATATTTCAAGAAATGTGTATTTATAGTCCTGCCAGTGGAAGGCTCAAAGAATTGGCAAACGCTTCCGACACCCCGCAGCGGCATGCTCTAGGGGGATCTCACTCCACTTGCTTCACGGTCGCAATGGCCGCCGCTGATGGCGGCACATCGGCCTTCACCCCACCAAACACTTTGGTTCTCAGAAACCAATTCAGATTGACCATGTCTTTAGGAGTTTTGATGTTAAAAATCCAAAAGGTGGCCTGCCACAGCAGGAATGCTTGGTCTGGTGGCGCCGATACCACCTCCTGGGCCTCGACGAATACCGCGTCTTCCCCGCCCAGCTCTCCATTCACGATTATGGGATGGAAAGTTTTGCGGGCCTCCGTTGGCTTCCGTCGTCTCTTGGAGAATGCGATGCAGGTTCTCCAGCTCATCCCCTGCAAAATGTTCATAACCAAATTATAGGTACACTTAACATTGCGTGGGAGAAAATGGAGGAGAAAGAATAGGAGAGAAGGAGGGAAAGAGTAAAGGGGAGAGAGAGAGAGAGAGAGAGAGGGAGAGAGGGAGAGAGGGAGGGAGGGAGAGAGGGAGGGAGGGAGGGGAGGGGAGGGGAGAGAGGAGAGGAGACACGAGGAGAGGAGACACGAGGAGAGGAGAGGGGAGGGAGTGAGGAAGGAAGCAAGGAAAGATGGAAGGAAGAAATGATGGAGGAGAGGTAGGCGGATGTAACAAGGCAAACAAGACAAGACATGGACCTGATGAGTTGGCACAGGGCACTGATAGGTACTACATTTTGGCACATGATGTGAAAATAATGTACAATGCCTCAGACTCAGCAGTTTGGAAAATGTAGGTACAAATTACACATGCATTAGTGAAGAAGTTTCTGCATTTAGATTAGAATAAATTGTTTTGAAAACATTAGACAATGCCTGTATCTTGAAAAAGGATTAGATTGGGCTGTGTCAGGACAAAACTGGGGATGAGTCATGTGAGCTCGCAAAGTTCTCAAGTTGTGCCAGGCAACTTTATGAGATTACACTAAAGGAGCTCCAGCGAATTATTTTCAGCATGCCCAGCTTGAGTGTGCAAAATGTACACTGGACTGGACCACTGTAGTGTCTGAACGTGATGCACAAAACTGAACGTGACACACCAGCGACAAAACAAAACACTACAACCATCTATTGCAAAAACAATTCATACATACCTGCAGCTGTGTGTCCCTGCATCCTGGCCTGCTGTCTTGCATGAGCGATGCACATAATACAAATGTAGCTGTACTTAGTCCGCTTAATTCCTAAGAAATTCATCATATCATTTTTTGATTGAGCGTTCCTCAACGTGAGACCATAGGTACCATTATCACGAGCTTCCTGAACAATACTGTGGTGACGGCGACGCCCACTGCTACAGCGAGGAGGTGGTGCTTTGATGAGCTGTGGAAAAACAGACACATTTGCAGTCACCACTTCTATTATTGTTCTATGAATCCATGACAAAGCCACTTAGAATGCAAGTATGAATAACCTAGCATAAGCCCAAATTTAACTTTTCATTAAAAACTAGAAGATATATCCTATTGGTCCCTGCTTGCACAGACAATTGACTGAATAAATGATATGGCCACACTGCAAACTTTCGCACAACCTGCCAGGCCATAACATTTCTAGCTACTGTGGGCAGTTAAATGTGCCTCTCTAATCAACAATTGCCCCAAACAACAAAATAGGCCTATTATTTACTTTAAAATAAACTATAACCCTGTAAATAGCAATACATTTCGTAAATAATTAATATATTATACCGCGGAAAGCATGCGCCATGATAGCCTACAAAATCATCATAAATTCTATCGCGATATTTCAACATTTATACCGACGCACATGAAGGTTGAGGCTATTCAAATTTACAAACATGATCTAAATTATTTAAAAAATGCTAATTTTACCTATAAGAACCAATTACCAATAATTCGGCGCCAATTTCCGGCCTCACCCACACACCGACAACACGACAAATGGCGGCGTGCTACTAGGCGACGGTGCCTTTTCGAAGAAATCTTTATTACGACCAATTTAAGACGTGTGTAAAATGAATGTTCAATGATTTATTTTTAAATTAGAAACGTAAAAATGTGGATAAAAGAATAATATCCGCCTAAAAAGGGCTTTAAAAAATATCACTTTTCTGAAAAAGTTAGGCTAGCAGTTTATCTTTCGCCATATGAGCTAAAGTACATATCCCACTGCTACCGGTCCATATCATTTCGGGAGAATAGAATATTGCGTTTCACCTGGTAAAAAATCGTGTCGATATGGACATTATAACAATCGAAACGAAACACTTGAATAGTTCGGTGCACGAAAAGTAATCAAAATCTTGATTACAACTCCTTATATGGTCATGCCACGCCCCATTTTCATGACGTCATAATCATGAACTTGATTAATCAAGTTCGTGATTACCTTCCCGTAGTTTGCCCAACTGATGACGCCATACTGCTGACGTTATGGGCAGTTCCGGCGCACGATGGCCGCGACCTTGGCTGCGGCATTAAGTGACGTATGAGACTAATAGTAAGAGTTTACGCAGTCATTATAGTACATTTATTTTTATTATATATTTTTTTAAATATGATGTATCTAAAAGGAGTTGGGTTTAAGGAAAATTTGGACGTAAACTTCTAACATTTAGTTGATGACGTAAAACAATATTGCGGCAATCGTGCGCCAGAATTGCCCCTTACGTCAGCAGTATGACGTCATCACATTACGTCAGCTCGCGCAATTTGATAGTAGCTTGCTGCTATCACCGGTGAAACAGGGCCCTGAGCGCTGTTCGGCAGCCGGCTATTTTGTGTGCAGGGTATGACGTATTTCGCGAGCCGACGTCACAGGCGGTGACGTCGGCTCGCGCGCGAGCCGGGCCCTGTTTCACCGGTGATAGCAGCAAGCTGCTATTACGTTTCGCGAGCTGACGTCATGCTGTGACGCCATACTGTTGACGTAATGGATAGTTCCGGATATTCCATTTCTCGTTCCGAAAAGAGTGCCTTGTAGAGGAATGCGTGCCTTGCACAGGAATGCAGCCACGTCATCGTCAGCCAATCAGCGTGCTGCTTACAGCCAATGCAGTATGCGTAGGTTTGAGCTACGCAATATGATTGGTCAATGCGTAATAAGCTTCCGCGTCAAGCATTATTTTACATAGAATATAGTTCGTCCTATATTAAAATATAGAAAATAATTGTTTTTACAAAAAGGTTTTATTTTATTTCATGATTATTTTGAGCATAAAAAATCATAAATCAATAGCAAAATACTGATTTCAGGAAAGTGGACTGTTTCCTTTAAGTGACGTATGAGCCTAAAAGTAAGAGTTTACGCAGTCATGATAATATATATATTTTGATATATATTTTTTCAATATGATGTATTTAAAAGAAGTTGGGTTTAGGAAAAATTTGGACATTAACTTCGAACATTTAGCTGATGACGTGAAACAATATTGCGGCAATCGTGCGCCAGAATTGCCCCTTACGTCAGCAGTATGACGTCATCACATTACGTCAGCTCGCGCAATTTGATAGTAGCTTGCTGCTATCACCGGTGAAACAGGGCCCGGCCCCTGTTTCACCGGTGATAGCAGCAAGCTGCTATCACGTTTCGCGAGCTGACGTCATGTCGTGACGCCATACTGTTGTCGTAATGGGTAGTTCCGGCGCACGATTGCCGCGACCTTGGCGGCGGCATTAAGTGACGTATGAGCCTAAAAGTAAGAGTTTACGCAGTCATGATAGTATATATATTTTTGATATATATTTTTTCAATATGATGTATTTAAAAAAAGTTGGGTTTAGGAAAAATTTGGACATTAACTTCGAACATTTAGCTGATGACGTAAAACAATATTGCGGCAATCGTGCGCCAGAATTGCCCCCTACGTCAGCAGTATGACGTCATCACATTACGTCAGCTCGCGCAATTTGATAGCAGCGTGCTGCTATCACCGGTGAAACAGGGCCCCGAGCGCCAACGACAAACTAACGGGAACCATCGGACACCCTCGGGGCATAAACCGCGGAGTAGCATATTGGGCGAGTCTTATAAGGGAAATTTATATATTTTCGTTTTTCAAATGATAATCAGGGTGTCTCTTACCTTTTTACATATCATTTAGGCTTACAAAATACTTCAGTTGACAAATATCTGCAATTTATTCAAGCGAAGGTATTTTCAGTAAATATCAATGGTATAGACCGAAATCTTTTGAATAAAAACTCCAACCAACAGAAATAAAAATAACTTAATTAATTCCAACCATTTCCTCCAAATAAACAACATAAAAACTCACTTTAACACACATCATTCATAATAAAGCATATATGCTTTATACTAAGCCCTGATCGGCGGCCGGCTAGTACTCTTGCCCGCGCTCACATACGTGCACGTTACCCCGGCAACGGGCTATTGACCAATGAGAAGCGAGAAAAGTGTTACGTCACTGCGATTTTTCATATACCTGTGCCCCCCGGACGTGACGTAGTGTGCTCGCGTGCGTGCAGGGTCTCTGCGATCGAAAAAGAGCGCTAGCAGCGCGCCACTCGACGCCGCAATTGTCAAAAGCGGCGTGTTAGTATGCGTTATTTTGAATGATGTGTGTAAAAGTGAGTTTACTTTTTATGTTGTTTATTTGGAGGAAATGGTTGGAATAAATTAAGTTATTTTTATTTCTGTTGATTGGAGTTTTTATTCAAAGATTTCGGTCTATACCATTGATATTTACTGAAAATACCTTCGCTTGAATAAATTGCAGATATTTGGCAACTGAAGTGTTAGGTAAGCTTAAATGATATGTAAAAAGGTAAGATACACCCTGATCATCATTTCAGAAACGAAAATATATGAATTTTCCTTTTAAGACTCGCTCAATATGCTACTCCGCGGTTTATGCCCCGAGGGTGTCCGAGGGTTCCCGTTAGTTTGTCGTTGGCGCTCGGCTCGCGCGCGAGCCGACGTCACCGCCTGTGACGTCGGCTCGCGAAATACGTCATACCCTGCACACAAAATAGCCGGCTGCCGAACAGCGCTCTAGCCGGCCGCGCTTCCAGCCGAATGTCACCACTTCCCCAGAAACGTCTCATAATAGAGCTACCATATCCCATCGCGCCGCCTGCCAAATACGTATGAACTTCACATTCACAACCGTATGTGTAGGATCCCGAGAGCAAGGTCATCGCAAGGTCGTCGAACTTTGGTCGTACTTGTACTGATAAAGATAATTCTTGCAAGTTGAATGCTATTTTTTATGTCAAAAGGTGCTACTGTTACAGAATGTATCCTTAAATGACCATAAAATACATTTCAAATTCATGTGAGCTACAGTGACCGTGTCAACCATTGTAACACGCCAATGCAACAGCTGGTCAAAGACAAAGTGTTAGGTTTTTTTTAATGAATACACTTGTAACCATTTTCTGGTCCAAGCCTTGTTGGGAGAAGCCGAGAACGTGATTTTGATTACGTTTGTTGAGAGTTGAGAGTTGAGACTCGAGTCATTTCTGGGGTCTTCAATATCAGATGAAGTGTTCCCTTCCATATGCCAGCACTAAGGGATTCTATGTATTGGTTTAAAAACCCAATGCTAACTCAATTCTACGATACATCGCTTTGTTTACATTTTAGTATCATCCTTGACAGCCACGCGAGGCACGCGGGGAAGAGTAGTGAGAAGTTGGTGAGAAGCAAGTTCAAGTTTGAGTTGAGAAGCAAGTGAGAAGAGAGCGCCACGGGCCACGGAATATAGAGAACTCAAACTGAAACGGAGAGCGCGAGCGTGAGAGGGAATGAGTGATCAGTCACTGATGTGAGACGCTTGAACGAGAGGGGCGTGAGCCGTGATGCGAGGAAGTGTTATTAGTACCTATAACGGTATAACTGTGTTTGATTACTTTTTCGCGGCACTTGTTTTCGAGCTTATCGTGCACTTTGGACTCTGGATTCTGGAAGTGCGGTGGCTCGGAGAATGCTCCGCTTTGTGCAGAGCAGCATCCGGCTTACACCGTTCGGCGTCGCGCTCCAACAGAGGCAGGCTTGCTCGACCATGGACTTCAAGTACAAGGTTAGCATCTGGATGATTGGAGCCTGGAATGTCAGTGTTTTGGCCTCTTGGATCCTGGCCAAGATATGGCATTCTATTTGTCAGTATTAGCCTAATGTGTAGATCTATATCACTGTGCCAGCCATCAAAGGGTATATTATATTTGCGCTGAGCCCAGCAAAATGAAACCAGTGAATCATTGTTTCATTTCATAATTCATATGCCCATGAATTAGAATAAGCAGTAGATGTGAAATGTTAGGCAAAGGCTCAATGTTTAATATTAAGCGTCAGTCTTAGTTTAAAACAAATGAATATTTCATTTAAAGGCCTTCTTAACAGGCATCGGTAAAATCCTTTTTGAAAGGATTGCATTCCCAATCCACATTCCTAGTGCCAAAGTGGATTACATTCCTACCCGCAATCCCCTTTTTTCACTTGGATTGTGATCAAATCCGCAATTCTTTTTTTGCAATCCTGTTGTATTATTATGTGCACTAGTGGATCTGGGGAGGGAGGGGGGCATAGGGCCGTGCCCCATCCCCAAATCACCCATTTCTAGTACCTAGTCTTGCGAGTAATTCCTATCTAAGGGCGGCAAAGGTATTTTATGGGAAATATTTTTTGCCTCAAACACCTCCACATTTAAACATCTACCCAACCAGTGTTTTATATTTTTAAATCTCGCCCTCAAATAGGTACCGTAAAATGGGGTGTTAAGGGACAGTGGGGTGTTAAGGGACAGTTGCATGGGAAAAACTTTGAGTCATATTAACTTCCTAATTTGAGAAGGTTCAATAAAAACTTCAATGTGGTAGTTGACACTGTTTTGCTCTTGACCATAGGACAAAATGGTATGGTTTTTCATGCAAGTGATTTGGTTCAAAAATTGATTTGAAAATCATGCTACATTTTCACAAAATTGAAACATCTCCAAAACTCTGTGTGTACCACATAAACTGGTGGGTGTACAGGGAAAATGAATGCATAGGTGTATTGTCACATGTATTGCACATGTTTCCTGAAAAACTTGTGCCAATCCACCCATTCATTCATCATCCTCTTCCTCTTTTCCAGATACATGCATATTTTGAGGTGGATGTGGGGTGCTAAGGAACAGGGAAGAAAAAATAAAAAATAATATCTGAATATAATTTAATTAAGTAGGCATGGAAAACACCAAATTCCACATAAAATGCTGGCAAGTTCATGCTTTTATCTCTAACACATCTTAAGTTATGTAACAAAACATCTCAACACTCTCTTTTACAATGATGGGTCAATGGAGACTGATGTAGGTAAATGTGATGTCATCATAAAAAGGCTAAAACAAAGAGGGCAACATAATGACAAGTGACTAGCTTCAACATGGGTTTTTATTGATGACAGAAGATTACTTTTTGGTTCTGTTTACCTTATAATTAGCACATTTTCCACAAGCGTAAACTGCATTACACGTAATTGGCTAAAAAGGTCATAAGTGGTGAATGAACCTGGCTTGTTTTGTGACAGAATATGCAAAACATTTCAATAAATAAATTGTGTGCCCTTCCACACCCCAATTGTGGGCATTTGATGACCATTACTTGGAATAATATAGGTGTCCCTTAACACCCCACATTGGGGTGCTAAGGGACAGTGATGAAAAATAATAAAAATAATATGCAGGTATAAATCTTAAAAACTTCAATGTAGCAGGCATGTAAAGCACCAAATTCCACATAAAATGCTGACAATTTGATGCTTCTATCTCCAACCCTTCTTGAGTTATATAACAAAACACCTCAAAACTGTCCCTTAACACCCCGTTTTACGGTACGTAATATTGCCCTTCCTATGTAGTTCATCAGAGTTTATTATTTTGAGCGTTTAAATTAAAAGCATTTAAATTATTTCAAGTTTCGATGTAAAGCCCTTGATAGCATAGTACATTAAGCCGATGAAGCCGATCTCATAATTTTAAATCGCAACAAACCATTTCAAAGCACTAATCAAACACAATCCGGATTGGATTGCAAAAATTGGAAGTATGATGCAATCCAATCCGCAATCAAATCCTGTTTTTTGGAATGGATTTCAAATCCAGGTGCAATCCACCAAAAAGGAATGCAATCAGGATTTTGCAATCCTGCAATCACAATCCTACCGATGCCTGCTTCTTAAAGGAAAAGGGCCACCTTCGTGAAATATGAAGATATCGTTGTTTTTCATTTTGACATTATTATTTTTCATTTTCTTTTTAAAACTGGTGCCAGAAGTGCACAATTCGCGAAAAGTATTTAAAACTATTTAACATATTGGTACTATGTTGATACTCTCTACGGCACCTACTGTATGATGGCATAGCGATGACGTCACACTCAAGCCAATCTGAATCAGCGTTCAGAAGACAGACTCGTCGGATTGTGTCAGATAAGCTGATTGGTTAGAGCTGAGCTGGTTGGAGCTGATTGGTAAAAAACCAAAGCCTCGCCGCGGGTGGCTGTATTGTCGGATAAGAACGCATTCCTGGGATAAGGACGCATTCCTGGCGTATTTTCTTTTAAAATTGCCGATAACTACGAATGGAGGCCGAAATCGGCCGTAAGGAGGAAGACAATTCGGTTTTCGGACACGGGCTACAAGATGGCTATCTCAGTTTCAATCACCATGTTAAAGGTGGCCCTTTTCCTTTAAATGATCAGCAGTCTTGTCAATCTATATGCTTAATCAGTATATGATTGTCATTGAGATGCTCGAATGATACTGATGTATATGTCAATGCACAGACCACGGCTCATTTTCAGGTAAACTGACCTGAGGTCAAGTTTTGACATTGACCTCAACCTTTCAAGGTCAAAACTCAAAAAGATAGGTGCCTGCATGCTTTGATGCATCTCAGCTAGTTGATCATGATGGTGCTATTATTTTTGTTTTTGTGTGATTGTTTCATACTTTTGTGCAGTTGTCCCCCAATCATTTCAATTTTGCCTATTTCACCTCCTGTTACATCATTTTTGAGCTGACCTGAAAATGATCTCAGTTAAAATTGTAGCCCTTGTCTGTTTTTTTTTTAAGTCAATCTAGTCTGAACCTCTTGAAGTGAATGGAAGGATTCACAAAGACAGAGACCAAGACCCTGCTGAGCAGAGCTTCATGCATTGGCCCTGCCCTCTACCCTCCAAAGTCCAATCATAAAATTCCTGGGCTATGACAGATTTTAAAGTCTGATATTTAACGTATGCACATATCCGCGAACATCCGGTACCCTCACTGACTTCGGATGGTTATGGCCTGCCACCAACCCGTCACCGTACCCGTCAGGAGGCTCATAATAAACATTTAGCGCCCGTCCGCCTCGAACCCGGACTTTTGTAACCAGATGCATGGTCTCGTTACACAGACTCCAGCACTCTACTGACGGAGCCATCAGTCTGTGCTGTTTGCTGTTTGTCGTCACCGTGCTTCGTTCTTGAGATCTGGGGGGGGGGGGGGAGGGGGGAGAGAGCAGGAATCCGCCCTTCCCCGTCACTGGGAAGCTCGTGAAGTTTTGCCATGTCGTGACCCCTCTCGGTGCGCTGGCTAGTATGCTTGTGTTCCGCGCCAGCGCGCTACCAAAACACTATAGGTAAAGTTCAATATCGGGGGTAAGAGTGCGGGCTATATATGTATCTCTGTTATATGTATACTCCGTTTTAGCGGGCTATCGGCTATCGAGACACTAATTAACTATATCGGTAGGTAGAGTACGGTCGGGACATATTGAGTGAAGGGTAGGATGAACTTTGGTATGACTTTCCAGTGTGTAAAGTACAGCCTGTGGATGCCTGTACGTGTGCCCTGTGCTCCGTTTCAGCGCGCTATCGAAGCGCTGAACTCGCTGCAGAGCAGCCAGGCGTCGCTCGAGCAGCGGCGAGCCGAACGTCACGCGCGCCCCGAGAGGGGTCTTCTGCAGACGACCGCCTGCCTGCGCCACCTGGGACTCACACAGCAGCACCTGCGCCGGCTGCGCGTCATCCATGTCGCAGGTGCGTCAGAAATGTCTCAGGTGCGTCAGACATGTCGCAGGTGCGTCAGACATGTCGCAGGTGCGTCAGACATGTCGCAGGTGCGTCAGCCGTGTCGTGGGCTTGTCATTTTTGCTTCCAGATTTCAACAAAACTACGAAGATAGTTATATAGCCTAGAATCCATCGCCATCCATCCCGCGCTCCAGTGTCTCTCCCTCATGCGTACATACGTAGCTAGTGGCTGTCAGTGACCGTGTAGTGTGTGTGTGTCCCGCCGTGAAGGGTTCACCGCAATACTCTGCTACTCGGCACCCGATCTATCGTTCTGTTCTCCCCGACAGCCGGACTGATCTGGCGTTCTGTGTATGTGGCCTTGGACGAGCCGGTCGGGCTGGGACGCTGTGTACCAAGGCCAATAATTGGTAGATGCGTCAGTGGGTTATAGCCAGTAAACAATGAAATCCTGCGTGTTTTGCTGCGTCGTTTCTCCCAAGGTCGACACGGTCCGGTCTTTGATGTGCCGTTATCTGACGCCGAGTCTCGCCCGTCGGCAGGCACCAAGGGCAAGGGCTCGACGTGTGCGCTGACGGAGAGTCTGCTGCGCCACCACGGCTACCGGACGGGCTTTTTCAGCTCGCCGCACCTGGTGGCCGCCAGGGAGCGGATCAGGGTGGGCGGCCAGTCCATCTCCGAGCACGAGTTCGCCTCATACTTCTGGGAGGTGTTCGACCGGCTCGAACAGGCGCTGGTCAGTGGTCTGGGGTCAGTGGTCAGGGGTCAGCGGTGCTGGTCAGTCGTCACTGGTCAGGGGCGCTGGTCAGGGGTCAGCGGTCAGCACCCGGTGGTCTGAGGCGCTGGTTAGTGGCCACTGGTCAGCGGTCCGGGGCGCTGATCGGTGGTCAGGGTGGTCGAACTCGAGTGGTCAGTGACCTCTGATTGATCTCTTTGAAATTTTAGTTTTTATATACAAAACGACAACTATTATTTCTTGCCATCCCTTTCAGTACTGTAGCTGAAACTGTTCGCAAGATCCTAGACCTCTGCAGTCTGTTTACCGATATACAGAAGTATATGGCCAGGTTAATTATACTGATCGTTTTTATACCGTGTCCGGGATATGCGGTAGCGCGGTACACAATACACATGCTCGGAACCACCGAGAGGACTTGTAGCTTTCTGGACTACCGACTCCCAAAGTAGCGCGTTGACCTTGGATGGGGACGATATTGTTTAGTTTCGCGCGCGCTGGATGATAAATAATTCCAATGGAGTCGGCCGGTCAGAGGGTACGTCGAATGTCACACACGACGCGGCGACGCGGCGACGCGGCTGATCTGAATAAATTGGGGCGGATGGCTGTCTTTAACGGACTTGTCATACCATCAACTGAAAACGCACGGATCGGCTGCGGTTAACTCGTTATGCATCATAACATTAAGCAAAATCGCTGTGTCCTTCTTCTTTTTTATTTTGTCACAAACGTATTTTGCCGTTTTAAAGAGTCCCTGCACATACGATATCCCGTCCATCATCCCCTCCGCAGTCTCGTTTGCTTTTGTACAATGCTCACTACCTTTCCTTGTCACCCTATGTAGTTTAAGTGAGTCGTAGATCGTCGTGTCCCAAGCTAAAATAGTAACCATCAATGAGCTTCATGTTCCTGATGACGCTGTTTTCAGGATGATGGCGAACAGATGCCGATGTACTTCATGTTCCTGACTCTGATGTCCCTGTACGTGTTTGTGCGGGAACAAGTGGACGTGGCGGTGATTGAAGTGGGCATCGGCGGAGCCTACGACTGCACGAACGTCATACGGTACGCGTGTGACCCAGCTGTGCCGCTATCGATGTCCGAAACGGCCATTAAGTATAACTGTGAACCGCGACAAGTATGATCTCTATTTTTGGTTTGTTTATTGCCGTATCAATGTATGTACATTGTACAGTGAAAACGCATCTCAATATTCATATTTCCAAAATTAATCTTGTACGTCTTTTCCTCTTTCGTACTAATCTTCTTTCTTATTTAACTTATTCCTTGAGAAAACCATCCATCCGGTATCTCTCTGCTGACACTCAGCCCTCTACCTTCCCCCTCTCCGGCAGGTATCCGTCCGTATGCGGTATCACCTTCCTCGACTACGACCACGTCGACATCCTGGGGTCGCGCATCGAGCAGATCGCTGAGCAGAAGGCCGGCATCGTCAAACCGGGGGTGCCGGTATTTGTAGGACGACAGCGACACGCGGCCACGCTGCCCGTGGTGGCTGACAGGGCCAGCCGGTGTGGGGTCAGTATGTCAACTCTACCTGCGTCTTCGTCTGTCTGTCTTGTGTCTGTTTCTATCTTTATCTCTACCTGTTTTTCTCCCGTCTCACACGTTCTCTCTCTCTCTCTCTCTCTCTCTCTCTCTCTCTCTCTCTCTCTCTCTCTCTCTCTCTCTCTCTCTCTCTCTCTCTCTCTCTCTCTCTCTCTCTCTCTCTCTCTCTCTCTCTCTCTCTCTCTCTGTCTCTGTCTCTGTCTCTGTCTCTGTCTCTGTCTCTGTCTCTGTCTCTGTCTCTGTCTCTGTCTCTGTCTCTGTCTCTGTCTCTGTCTCTGTCTCTGTCTCTGTCTCTGTCTCTGTCTCTGTCTCTGTCTCTGTCTCTGTCTCTGTCTCTGTCTCTGTCTCTGTCTCTGTCTCTGTCTCTGTCTCTGTCTCTGTCTCTGTCTCTGTCTCTGTCTCTGTCTCCCTCTCCCTCTTTCCCCTCTCTTTGTCTCTCCCTCCCTCTGTTCCTTCCACTTCTCCCCTTTTTCTCTCGCTCTCCTCTTCCTATTTGTCGCAACCCTCTTCTCTATCTGATGTGCACCGCTTCACATCCCGCAGCCCGGTGGGCGTATGGCGCGTTACCGCCCACGCCTGCACGGCTTGGGTACGAGTTATGTCCGGTCTTTGCCCCATCTGCCAGTGATTTCCTGTCCAGGCGTCTGGTTCGGGTGACGGTCTTCGTTTTACTCGGTCGTAAAGGGGCTGATGTCCTGCTGCTGGTCCAGGAAAGGGTTGCAAGCGATTCAGAAAAGCTAGTCAAGTTTACTATTGGCCGAGGAAGCAGCGCAACCGATTCAGTATAGCTGTGTAGAACATAAAGTTTGTCATATTACGGGCCTGCCTACTGGTGCCCCTAAACAACACACTTGATTACTGAACCTCCCAGGATTAAGACGAAGCTTTTCTTTGTCGGCATATGCGGCTTTTTCTTTGCTCCTCTGAATAAGTTATTGTCGTGTCTCGGGCCGACAGTATGTAGTACCAACTACCACCTGTTGTATAAGGGTGTGATCAAGTGAGCCCGACCCCCGCCGGGGATATGTCTCAACCCGACTGACTTATGATGACTGACCCGCTCCGCAGAGTCCGATTCTGTCTGTGCCGGAGCTGACCGAGTACCGGGCAGAGGACGGTCGCCGGCCCGGTCTGGCCATGGCCGGGCCCCACCAGCGTCAGAACGCGGCGCTGGCCCTCCAGCTGGCCAGATACTGGCGCGCCACCGCAGGTTAGAGGCGTGAGACAAAAGTGTTTCCGTTAGGTGAGACGAGTGAGGCAAGGGGCGTACCCGTAGGTGAGATAGGTAGACGTGGACACGGGCTGTTTTCGCTTGAAGGTTGGGCTAAGGAGATAACTTGCGAAAATATGTCGTAACTGGCTGGAAATAAAAGCCTAGATACTATTGTCTCGACGTCATTGAATTTGTGAACGATTTTTCTTCTGGACTTGTCGGTCCCTGTTGTATGTGCCCCTGCGAGTGACCACCCCGATCATTGTCGCCCCGGGCCTGCTAGGATCACAAGATTTCCTAGGCTGTATCACTGCCAGTGACTGACCCTCCTCCCTGCTGCCAGGTAACGATCCCAGCGACCCGTGCCCAGCGCTGGACGTCATTGTCAGTCCTGACCCCCTCCCCCCTGTCATCAGGTGGCGATCTCAGTGACCCCTGCCCGGCGCTGGAGGCCATTGCCAGAGGGGTGTGCCGGCCGACCGGGGACACCGACACCCTCCCGCGCGCCCCGCCGTTCCCGCTCACACCTCTGGAGACACAGGCGCTGGCCGAGTGTCGCTGGCCAGGCCGATGTCAGGTCAGTTCGGGTCAGCTGGGGTCGCAGCGCTGGGTCAGTCCGGGCTAACATGTCAATGCGCTCGTGAGCTAATGCATTATTGAATAGGCTGTCGCGATTTTCAATTTTCTGAGTGCCAAAAAGATTCCGTTTCAGCCTTCCTAAATGCCGGAGACTATTCATGGATGGTTTGTTACATTCACGCATTTTCATTTATATCGATAACTGATGGCGATTCATGGATTGGTGAACGGCTGTCATCCCTTTATCTCACGCATAGCTGATGAATGATCATGCGTCAGCGTCATAATCCTGTGTTGAGCATCATAACAAGCGTTTACTCCCCAGCCTTTAACCTCTACCAACTGCCTGTGCAACCCACAGAAGGTGGTCCGCGGCCCGGTCACCTACCCAGTGGGTACCCTGTCTGTCCACCCCCCCCCCCCCGCCCCCAAGACTGACCTCCTTCCCGCACCCTCCCCGCCTGTGTAACCCACAGAAGGTGTCCCGCGGACCGGTCACCTACTACCTGGACGGAGCTCACACGCGCGGCTCCGTGGAGCTAGCCGTTCACTGGTTCCAGTCAGAGGCGGCTCGTGATGCCGCTCTCACCGGGTCAGTGCTGAGTGGACGCGACCCCGGACATACCGCCCGGTAAACGGAGAGGGGCGGTGATAACGGGACGCTGACCGAAGCTCCGGTGGGGACGCCGTGTGGGAGGGAGGAACGGGTGGTAGGATGTTCAAGTGCCCGGAGACTACTCGTTTGGTGATGTTTGATGACGATTTGAGTAAGCGTTTTCCAATCTCTGTTCGCTCTTAATTGTACACTTCACATGGTTGACAATGCTTATTTTCCTTAGCTGTTCGGTGAGCTGTTTTTTTTTTTTTTTTTAGTGAATCGATTTACTTCAGGCTAAACTATAGGACTCACTCCGTTTATGTGATCACCGGAGTCCCTTTGTCTGGGTTCAGGTGAGTGCTCAAAACGTTTGCTTGGAAAAGTTATCTCCTTATTCATTCAGCATATCAGACTGTTTCACGTGTAAACTCCACGCCGTCTCTCCGTTTCTATTTCGCCGTCTCTCCGTTTCGATTTCAGTCGTGTGCCGCGCCGGATACTGCTGTTCTACTCGACTGGCAGTCGCGAGCCGAGCTCTCTTCTGGAGCCGCTGACCTCCCTGCGCTGGGACCACGTCATCTTCTGCCCCAGCGTCGTCTGGCCCGTTGTGGACACATCGTCAGGTCTGTGTTGTTAAGCGTGTTCACAATTCACATAGGTATGTACCAGATCAAACCCGTAGTGACCTCTGATTGTGTTGCCCACCGAGTACTAAGCCCGCCCTTTGGATGTGGTGGCCCCTGGAACTTTTTTGTACTGCCTAGTGCCTATAGATAATATCAACCATGTTGTCTCCAGTAATTTCCGTTTTCTGTCAACAGACCAGACCAATAAGATGTCTCCTACAATAATGCTTCCATCGCAAACCAGCACTTGTTTTGTACGTTCACGCCCTTTACCTCGTCTGCATAACTAACTGGTCTGTCTCACCTGTATTGCCACCAGACCAGGCCAACTGCACGGTGACGCCCCAGTCTCGGCAGTGCCGGGTGGGCGCCCACTGCACCGCCTGGCGCGAGCTGACCTCGTCTGATCCCGCGGACACCGCCGCTGGCGCTGTGGGAGGCCAGCTCCACCGACTGGCCTGTATTAGCCAGGCTGTGGAGCTCATCGAACAGTGCGGCGATACTCCCGCACAGGTCAGTTGAGAAGGCTCTTCAACCCACTTTTTTTTTAAAGAACTACATTCTAAGACATAAAAATGCATAAACTTCTCGTGCATGATGCTTGATCTGTGATTTGCAAAAAAAAAAACCATCAGGGTCTGAAAACTTACTAGTAACATCAGATAATCATATTGTTGATGGAATTCTCCCAGTGCTCTTCCTAGTATGACTACGCTGTCTCTCCCGCACAGGTTCTGACTGTAGGCTCGCTGCACCTAGTCGGCGGCCTCCTCTCCATCATAGACCCGGAGCTGCGGTCAGCCATGCCCGCGCCCGTCACCGCCGGGGCACGACCGCGCCGACGACTGGCGAGCGGAACCGCGCCGGCCGGTGGACTACTCGTGTAGAGGTCAGCTCACGGGGCGGACTGCTGATCTAGGGCGTAGGCTGTAGATCCATCGCCAGCCAGCTCTTCTAGAGCGTAGATCTGTCGCCGCCTTCCAGCTGCTCATCTACGGTAAAGTGTGAATCTACCGTCAGCCTGCTTGCGTAGAGCGTAGAGCCGCCGTAAGCTCTCTTAGGTAGATGCTAGCCCCACGTCCGCTGCGCCCTCTGTCCTTTGCTATTGCACTGTGAGGACACGGTAGCCGCGGCAGTGCCCGTGAGCGGTGCTCCGCCGTGGAACTGGCTGTCACAGCCTACTCCGGAGCCGAGAGGGCCCGCGAACCCGACGGCAGTGACCGAGGTAGGTTGAAGACCGAGGGGGATAGAAGGGGGCAGGGGAAGGGTATTGTTGTGATCCTTCACTCTTGGCCAGAACAACCATATGAATCCTAAAATGGGCTAAGATGTCGCTCAGAGGAGCATCGTTGAAAACGGGAAGTCGTCATTCGATGAACATGCCGGTGTACGAGTGTACGAGAATATCGGAAGTTGTGAATAATCTCAGTAAGCTAACTTTCGAGTCTCATGGTTTGCTGTTGTAGTTTTCCACTTTGTTTTGTTTCATCAGTATGTAAAACGAGTCATGAGTTTTCTTTTTGAGCTAGTACTCGTATGTGCAATTAAGAACATTTGCACCGTATGAACTCCTGAAAATGACCAGTGTCATTTTCGATATTTCCATGACACGAGTTTTGTTTCTATTTGTTTTGCTTATTTTTTCGGGGCGGGGAGGGGGAGGAGGGAGACTAAAATAATACCTGAGTGCGTTACCTTAGCTCCACTTCTTAGTCAGCAGAAGTGAGTCTTGTTTTCTTACAATACTATAGCAATGGCAGGGCCAACATATGCGATACAAATAACAAGGACGTTAAATAATGGGATTGACATGGTTTCGTACTTTTTTGTCAGTGGCCTGCCCTCCTCATCACTGTTATCCTTTTCCTGTTCAGTGATAGGCAGCACCGTATTAAAAACACCTTGAAACACTTAAAACAACGTTGTCTTTATTTTTGTGTCGTCTTTGTAGGTAGCAAAGCCCACCAGAGGTGTTCGATGTTAACTGAGCAGTGTTTATACTCATCATAGGTGGCTATTTTCCATTAATTACTGAACAGCAGATAGCATTCATCCGGTGGGTCATCATTTAGCATTATTCTGTGTTTCGAGGGCTGAGGAATGTTGGTTTCGGCGTCACATATGTAGATTGTATGAAGTCTTGGGTGATAGGATGTTGAAGGGATGCTATTGCCACCAGTACTACGTCAGTTCTAGATGAAACCTTGGGCTTAGATGAGTGGCTGTGTAAACGCGAACATCAACGTGTTATGGGCGTAGTATTTTTGCAATTGGCTGGGGCTGTGTTTATGCAACGGTTTAGTGAACACAACGCGTGTTTTTGCGTGTAAAATGTGTTGTAAAGCATGAATGATGTCTCTCACAGGGGATTGGTAGCTACGAGTGACATTTTGTTTCTGGGACATCATTGTTGCGATGTTATTATGCCATGTTCACATGTGTTGGTAAATGATTACCTGCCGGTGTGGTAAAAAGATAACGAAATTATAAACATACTATGGGCATTTCCATGTTCCATTTAGTACAGTAGATAGCGAACGTCTTGGGCTATTATGACGTACCTTGTAGTTCAAGTGTTAGTGCCAGCCTCACCGATAGATCTCGTGTGGTTGAAGGAAGTCGCCCGCCCGCCCGACGGCTGAGCCGTATTATCTCTCTCACACCGACCGCCGCCGTGTCTCGCACATATCTGTCAACGAACCTCAGTATCCAAGACCATGACCATAGCAATCTCGTTAATCGCGTCCGAGTTCAGTATGTACGATCACTGAACTCGCACATATGAGTCGTGGTGCTCATTGTGATGATGTGTAATGCCATCAATGTACAATCTGATGTGCCTTGCCGAATACAATAACGTAGACTGTGACTGTGTGTTTGATGAATGTGTGCGGGTGGTAACTATGTGACGTTCATACTCATTACAGCGATTAGGGTCATCGCTGAGCGCTTATCTTCTGCTATAGCTACATGTATGGGGAGACGTAGACGCACCGGTGCCCCTGTTCGTTCCGTCTTTTGGATGCTGTCGATCCGGTCGCTGCGCTATGCGCGTCTCACCCGACAAGCCATGCGTTCGCCGCGGTCTTTGTGAGGTTGGTTGGCGATTGGACGTGATCAGTTGCACGAATGCGACTTCCTTGGCATAGCAGACGTTCACTGATCGGTGATCAGTGATCAGGCCCGGTCGTGCTTCCTGATCCTGCTCCTAGTTCAGTATGCCTTCTTTGCGGATTGTTGGTTATCACCGCCACCGCTGGGGTCGCATAAGGTTCGAACATTTGCGGCGCTGAGAAGTGGACTCATGGGCTGACTTGCGTTATATCAGCCGATTGTTCGAGCTCCTTGCATAACGGGACTACCGGTGCAAGCGTATGTGGCATTCTGATCCAGCTTTCACCATGCATCTTGGCTTCCTTGGGCTTGTCCGTTTATCTGTCATTGATTGAAGATTGCAGACGAGGTTGAAGACCCGTTGGTCTTTCCAGCAGATCTGTGACATGTTTCGCTGGCCCCAATGTCATGCTGGTCACCCTTCCGTGTCGGATGTGTCGAAGGAACAGACCATCGTTCCACAAAACTAGCCGACCGCGTGGCTCGTGTACCTACACTTTGAAACTCATCCACCTGCTGCCTAGGAGGACGTGCCCTCCTATGGCTGGAAGTATCCCTCTGCTCAGAACAATCAACAAGTCACAGTGTGTCGGTCTTATTGCGGGCGAGTCACGATTTCGGTTTACACGCACACACACACACTCTCACATACACACAACACCGACAAGGGCGTGCCTGTCATGTGGCTCGATGCATATGCCCCGGTACCGCACGACTGACGCGACACCAAGCGGTCAGGAACTGAACTACACAGACTAACACGATTTAGCTGCGATGCCTCTCATCGCACGCCGCCCGAGCTCTTCCACAATCAGTAACAAGATAACAACAGTTCAGGGCCTCAGTATTTATCGTGAAGTTAACAAAACCGAGTATAGCTACAGAGGCACGTCGGATCCTGGGTAGGCGCTTGAAGACAGCTTCCCCAGTCTCTCTTGAGCACCTTGACGGATATGTATGCCCTGAACATCACATAGACACTCGCTTCTCGTCCGCACAGTAAAGCATCTCTCAATAAATAATACGGTCAATAAATACATGGTATACACAGCTCGTTCGACGGCGCCACACGGTCGCTGGAGCATCTCAGGATGGAGGATGTCGATGGCTTGGCTCGGTCCTCTGGCCCGCTCGCCTTGGTCTCCTGGCTCTCGCGGCTTGGTCCTTTTGCTCGAGCGACCTGGTCTGCGTGGTCACCGCTCGGTCCTCTGGCTCGCGCAGCTCGGTCCGCTTGGCCCGAAGTTCTTGAGACCTGATCCAAGATGGACTCAGCTTGGTTCGAGACACTCACGGCTCTGTCTGAGCCCTGAGGCTCTCCGGGCGTTCCGTTTGGCGATGGATTCGGAAAGCCTCTCCCCAGGCTGGTTGACCCCGCGGCACCGACCGGCCGACTCGGACCCGACGTTCCGGCCCGGCCGTGTCATCTTTGGCTCGCTCGGCGACTGCACCCCACCCCGCGCACCGGTCCCTCACTCGCTGTTCGCGCGATCACAGAAGGTCCCCGGCTGGCTCACTGGCTACAGCACCCGGCGCTGACGCTAGAACAACATGATCTGCTCCACCCACTTTCGGAAGTAGGTGATCCTCGTGTAGACGCCGGGCTGGTTCTGCTGCGCGCAGCCGATGCCCCAGCTAATGATGCCGATCAGCTCGTAGCGGTCAGAGTCCTCGCGCTTCAGCACCAGAGGTCCGCCAGAGTCACCCTGCGGTAGAGAATCACACGTCAACAGACATTTCCGGGACGGGACGGTGCTTTAGAGGACTCCCAGCGGAATCCCAGAGACGGGCTATGGCACACAGAACCAAGCAACATTCCTAATAAAGACAGGCCAAGTATTCGGGTGGCCATTGCCGATCACTAATTGAAACTTCCCTAACATGGCTGCTCGCCATTATCCCCAATGCTAATGCTGTACCCGCTATCTATTCTGAATCCGCCCTCCCCTAACTTTTGCCTACTGATACAAGCTTTTGTTCATCGGGCACATGATGACCCCACTGTCAACACATCCCTAAACCTCAACAAACCAACAAATGAGCCTCCGCACGTCGCCGCCCTGGTACTGACCTCGCACGAGTCGCGCCCTCCGGCCGCCCAGCCGGCGCACAGGAAGATGTTTGGGATGTGCTCCACGTAGCCGGCGTCGCGGTACATGCCCTCGCAGGCGCTGTTGGTAATGACCGGCACAGAGACCTCCTGCAGCTTGGACGGCAGCGGCCCGTCTGTTGGAGACGAGGCACATGACAGGTCAGACGGTGCGCGAATACACTGCGAATTAATTAAACGGCGGTGACACGAGAGTGATTGGGTTAAACGGCGTCGCCGGATGGACGTCAGGTTTAACGACAGACTACGGAGCTCCTGCGTCTGCAGAGCTAGGGTAGAGCACGACGTTCTTACACAGATGGGCTCGCGTTTGGTGAACACGGACGCTCAATTATGACGCTCAATTACCACAACACGGATGCACAAGTTCTTATGGATGTTGAACATTTGATAACCCTGCTGTTGGCTAAAGATGCCTTCTGATGGAAAATAGAAAACGGCGAGGTCTTGGGTGATGAAGGTTTGTTGTTAGTGCGAACCCGCTCCTCCATCTCACTCTCCCACACTCTGATCCGGGTTATTGGTACTCACTCTCATAGAGGCGCCCCCATCCGGTGACCCAGGCCGTCCTGTTCAGGTAGTCGTCCTCTCCCTGCGGCAGGCAGATGGGCACGATGTTCGGCGCAAACGTCACCGGCTCGTAGAACCTGAAACAGAAGCGGTGCCCTGTGAGTGACGTCACTCGCTCCGTGTGTGTGACGTCACTGTGTCGACAATGACGTCACGGCGTCTCGGCGACAGGCCGGCGGGTGTAGGTGTTTTTGTACTGAGCAGGACCGGTCCTCGGCGGCCGGCCGGCCGGTACAAGCCTGGATTACCGGATGACCTACTGACCCTGTACCGGCCGAGCGGACCGGCGACCGGCCGGACCAACTCCCCCTCCCCACGGCGCGTCATTGGGGGGGGGGGCTAAAGGCCCACCCGTCCCATCCCTGGTCCGCCTCCATTCCTCTATAGAAACGGTGACCGACAAATACGAAACGTTAAATGCGAGAAAGCTTTGTGATGGCAATTGCACCGTATTTCCATAGCGCTATACGGGACGTTTTATTCGCAGCGATTTGTGTGGTGCTGTACCGGTATCAGACGGGAGGTTTTGGGTCAGGTTTGGATACTTTCACCATTGGAATCTCACTACAGCTGGTCAGGCTGATGGTTTGGACTGCATGTGAATTAGGTGGCTCAATTTCAGGTCCACTGCCCATAGGACCGCCAATCGCTTACTGTACTAAACATACAGAAGCTGGGAATCAAAATAAGCGAATTTCATTACCGGTGATCTAAACATCTAAACATTCCCTTGCGATGTCTTGTCAGGGCCCTGATATTTTGGCAATGTCATATGTCCTCTCCTGAGCATGAACCCCATCCCCACCGTCATATCTTCCGCGCATTTGATGAGGGGAGCTTCCATCAAGCATGCCCCTCCGGCGCAGGGACCGGGCCGACTGGGCGGCGGCCTATCCAGCCTATCGTCTTTTGTCCTTTGTCTCCGCCTTTAGCTTCCCATCCCACCGCCTTGATGAAACACAAGAAACCAAACATCTGCAAGGTCAAAACTTTAAGCGCTGCGCTAAGAACCCACCTGAGCATGGCGAGGTCGTACTCGAAGGTGCGCGAGTCGAACTCGGGATGGATGGCGATCAGCTCGACTCTCCGCTCGACAAAGTGGTACGGCTCCGACTCGTCCTCGAGGTTGTACTCGCCCAGCCGCAGCAGCAGGCTCTCCGGCTTCACACTGAAACGGCAGGGAGAACGGCGTCAGGATACGTTAGCGGACGGTGTTACGTCAGAAAACAGGTATACGGTGCAGCGACTCAAGCAGTGGTGACGACCCTTGTTGTGCCGGTCACTGACCATCATGGACATTGGGAAGGCATACGGCAACGGCTGGCCTGCTGCATGATATATCATATAAGAACATCGCTTATACATAGAGCTACCCGTACCTAGTTACACGGTAGAAACGTTTGCTTACTTTCGTGTCCTGTTCACTTCCTGCGGAAGCGAACCTGTGTCCTTGACAAAATTGACGAGTGACGAGGAACCCGTAAAAAAGACTGGCTTCGAATGTAAGCAGCTGCCAGTCCTCTGCTACTGGCATACCAGTAGCTTTATTGAGACTAGAACATCGTTTCCGGTCAGCTAAGAGCGTTATAATGCGGCCAATACTCTGTCGTGACGTGAGGATAACGCGACATTACACGAACACGTCAGCTGATGTGTGGGTCAGCCGGCAGTCGTGAGGCGAGGATCACTCGCAGTGGGTCGCGGCCGGCGCGTGTAGGTCGGGGTGCTGTTTATCCTGTATTATCACCGACGGCACGCGCCTAGTCTGGGACAATCTCCTCACTGGGGCCTAGTAAAGAGACTTATCGCAGTGGTGTTATAGCATACAGGCACCGAAGTCGCAACTTGCATCGGTAGTAACAAATAAAATGACGCGACTTACACACAAGAATAAGATATACACATCGCAAGTGCTTTTAACTGTACATGTGCTTGCCTGTGCGTTTTGCGCTATGCGAAGCTATGAATGCGTAATGTGCTGTTTACAGCGGCATTAGACGGCCGTTTGCGGTTACTGGTGACAGTTCCGGACGACCTTTGACCCGACGCCCGAGCCGATGACCTGGAGATGAGGCGTCACGCTGCGCTCTGGCGGCGTCACGCCGGCGCCGCGCCGTCACGGCGTGACGCGTGACGCGTGACACGGCACCGCCCCGGCGAGGTAAACACTGACGCGCGCCGAGATAGCGCGATAGGCCGGCGTCTTGTCACTCACGAACACGCGGCCTCGGCGGTCTGCAATGCCTATATGCAACGCTGAAAGATAGTAAAAAAGCGCCGCGATTCGGTAACATTTCCGCGATTGAGTGGAGCTTCAAAGTCGCTGACGGAAGCTTCGTCAGGGACAATGGCTGCCGGCAGCTGGGCTCTTCATTGTAGCTGTGCACCGATGCACTAGCGGAACGGCTGTTAAGTCATCAGACGAGACCCTGACGTCAGCAGACCGCCAACCGCGACGCATCAGTCTCATCAGCCCGGCTACCATGATATCAGTCCGACATCTGCCGGATGACATTTAGCCGTCAGGTGGTATGACTGTCCGGACGGCAGATGACGGTTAAAATAGCGACAGGCAGCGGTAGCGACGTCTCGGGGGATGATGTCTGACACTTCGTGGCTCGTCTTTCATCTGGCACATCGCGGCGGCAACTCATCGCTGAGGAACACTCGCACGCTCGTGGGAAACGGCAGACGTCTGTTCGCGCGTGCCTCGTCTCGGAGTCGGCACCACACGTGAGAACAGCTGAGATCGGCGGGCTCGTCCCGACCTTGCCAGCTGGCCTGGTCATCGATGACGCATGTCCAGTGACATGTGTTGACGATCTGAATTACCAGAACGTGAGAGACTGCGTCACTCGAACTAGGCCGTCAGAACGGGTCCCTGCATCGGCGCCGGTCGGGCAGCGCCACTTTCTAAACGGGTCTCGGCGGACGGAGCCGGAAGGCTGGCTCACGTCCCGGCTGCTGCCACGGTGTGCCTGCTGACGATACGAGCTGCCGGCCGAGGTCAAGGACCAGGGCGGCGCCGGTGACCGGCCGACCCGGCAGCTGCAGGTCGGAGAGCGGAACAGCGCCGGCAGAGCGGAGCTGCACCGAGTACCGACAGATCTGTCCCAACGCTGTGGGACGGGCCAGACGGCAGAGCGGGGCTGCACCGACAGATCTGTCCACCACCGCTGTCAGACGGCAGAGGAAATCATCCTTGTATTACTCTTTTGGAGACTATGGCTTTTTAATGTGGAGCCATTCAATTGAAGGCGCAGAGGGCGCAAGCAAGAAAGGTGTCGTTATGTGCCGAATGACATTCATCGGCAAGAAGCATCGGTCAAGGAACAGGCTGCATGTCATTTGACGATTTATGTATGTTGGATTGACACATCCAATACATACCCGATGAATTGAATATTGCTTCGTACTTTTTGTCTCCAAATTCCACGAGAGCATCACAAACATACAAGCACCAAACAAGATGACCTTTCTTCAGTCCTCCTGGTTGTCGATGAGATGCATGTTCAGCATGCCGAACGTCGCCAGATACAACCCCACGCTCGCTAATCTGTCCGTCACCTCTGGCTCCCGATTCCCACGCGTTTGCCCAGCCTCAGCGGCAGGTCAGCCGGCCGGTCGGTCGGTCGCCATCTGTCGTGGCCGGCCGGCCGGAGCTCTGATGGGCTGGATCAGCGGCGGCGGCCGGCTGCTCGGCCGACCGACCACTGCGGCCGGGTGGATGACCCCGGCCCGGCCACCGGAGGCCGCCGACGCGCCGGCCGTGACACGGAGCCGGCCAGCCGTGAGCCCGACGACGACGGCGATTCGTGACGGTGACGATAGAGATGCCGACGGCAGAGCTGCCGATGGAGCTGCCGACGGCGACGACAGAGCTGTCGATTGCGGCGCCGGCGACGGAGCTAATGTTTGCCGACATGACAGTGGAGATGAGCTTCCGATGGTGGCGACAGAGCTGTCAACAGCGGCAATGTATCGCTGAGAGATGAGTGGCGGTCGTGAGGCAGGGAACGACCTTCTCGTTAGCCTTTTTCATGAGATGATCTTTCACAGACCTCCGGGACTTCGTCGCGGTGCCGGTGTCTGCAGCGACCTCCGGCCATTAGCCGTTGCCGGGGTCGCGCGCGCTCCGCTGCTCCCCCTCTCGTGACTCCACAGCTGTTCCGCACCGTCTCGCGTGGTGCGGAAGCCACCGAAGTGGCGGCACGCTGCGCTGTGGCGTCTCGAGCCGGCTCGGCACGGGTAGGAGTGGTGAGGCGGTGTGGGCCGCGGCACGGGTCGCGCCGCCCGCCCGTGCCGCGGCGCGGTCGACCACTCCGCCCGCGGCCGGAGCCGAAGTGGGTCAGCGCGCTCCTCTGAACCGGTTGCTGGCGGCCCAGAGCTGAGAGGAGGGCGGCTGCGCGGCGCGCGCTCCCCCACCTGATGACACATGACCGGATCTGTGCCGATCTCGGCCACCGACCGCCGCAACCGGGGAGTTTACCGGACGGGTTACTAGAGCAATCATTGGACTGTAATGGTCTGCTGGAAAGGTGCTCGCCGTTGGGCTTCTTCAGATCGTGACTCTTTGGTTCTGTTATCTTCTGGGAGTTTAGGATGAGTCGAGCGGAAATGAAAGTGAATGTGGCCTGTATGCTTTTACACCATCTTTTCATGCTCTTGCCTTACTTTATTCTCTTCATCCTCTAAGCACTCATCAGTTATCAGCCCAGTCCAGAGTTCGGAGTGGTCTTGTAAGACCAAACTGGACCGTTTGCTTTCGTGACACTGAACATTGCGATCATACGGCTGGAACCTGATGTTGATAAGGTGAACGTCGAGTTGATAGCACAGACATAGCCGCTAACATCCCAAGTGTGGTATCCTAGCGTAGTCTCTCTACTCGTACTCTACCCGCCTGATCACCGGGCATGGTATCCGCCGTCCGCCACAATCTGTTACCACCTATTAATTCCCGGCGGCGACCGGAACTGACGGCGGCCGCTGCGGCCCGCTACGAACGGTACCGGTCGTTTGACCTGTGACCGGTCGTGCTGCCGCCGGCCCTCCCGATCAGCCGGCGCACAATACAGCCTTTGTCTGCAACAGGTCCCGACACAAAACAGCGCACGCCGCGCCGCCGGCGGCAGCCAGTTTTTGTGGACGGCACGTGGTCTGTTCGACGCAGCGGTATGTTTCAGAACTGTGACGGGTCGGGTCGGGTCGCCGCGCCGCCGCGCGCTGGTGGGATAGCTGACGACGAGGACACGCCAGAGGTGATTATCTCGGCTATGTCGCAATGTGGTTAGACGCGGTCTTTCACCGGTGACCGGTGATTTTAGTGACCTAGTGCGTGGTGCGCATTGCTGACCTAGGTAACGGTCATTGCCCCTGTCCGCTGGAGAAATAACTGCCGAGTATGACTGAGACTAAAGACTTATCCCTACAGTCCTCAGGTTCCATAATCCAGAAGTCTGATACCCAGACCATACATTCTGACTTGAAACATATTTGATGAGTGAAGTTTTTTCCTGAGCATCTGTAGTACGAGCTCTACAGCCAGGTGAAGCCTGAACACTGACCGACAACTCGAGTGTGAATGGGGCTACAAAAGGTGTTCTGATCAAATTTGCTTATTCGTTGCCGTTGACCTTGTTGGCCTTCCGTGATTCGCATTCTTACAAGCCTTGACCCTTGGCCTGTCTTACCCACGGTGTCAGCCCTGTAACATGCTGTCTGTCTGACCTTTTTGACCTGCCGTCTGTGTGAAGACCGATCTTTCGTGACCTGCCGACTGCCCAGAGGCTGGCTCTCTGACCCCGGGTGTTCGCGGTGCGGACAGGGCGGACCATACTCTCGGCCCGTTACCTGTCCGCTTACCGAGGGGCGGCGGCGGTGGCCGGCAGACCGTTAGGTGGACTGCGCAGCTACCAAGATATTCCATACCGTGCCAATGTTGACACATCTACCCGAACGCACTGTGGTTGACTTCGAGAGCCGGAAATCTATCAGGAGCAGCGAAATATCCTCTGTTGGTGTGGCCTCTATCCATCGTAGGACAGCCTAGGATGCCCGTTCTCTACACGCCTTGTTCTAACTCCACTCCCTTCTGCGACACCCGTGTATCCGACCCAGACACCGCGGCGTCGGTCCAAAAACTGCGCACGCGGGGTGCGGCGCTGTCACTCACCCTTCGACGCAGTGGGCGGCCGTGATGGCCCAGTTCTGGTTCACGAGAGCCGCTCCGCACTTGTGAAGGTAGGTGACCTGACGCCACTGACGGAGGGATACCTGCGGAAGGAGACCGGTACAGCTCAGACTCGGGGTGGGAGTTGGCTGTCACTCATACACGCAACGACCAGTTGAAGGAACAGATACTCGTGTAACCGCTAGCCACATCCATCCAAGGCCGGTTTTTGAACTTGAAACAATGCGCGAATATTACACGTGTGTATGCGTGATGTATTGCAAAAGAAGCAGACATAGACAGATGCGTGATGATCGTTCCGATACGCTAACAACCGCCTCAAGTGGTCTATCGGGATTAGGGTCACGTATGGCTTCCGGCCGGTAGCGGCACGGCTGGTGCGCGCAGCGCATGGGCTCGTGACGTCGCAGAATTCTGCGAGCGCGTTCCTCCCGCACGGTGACCCGTGCGGGTCAGCGGGGTCAGAGGGGTCAGCGGGGTCAGCCGTACCTGCCACGGCCACTCGCCGAAGTCGGAGACGTTGCCACCGACGATCCTCTTCTGTGGCACGTATCGTTTGCCGCAGCCTGTGAACGGACAGCCGGGTCAGTTGGTAACAGGCTGCCGCCGCATGGTTATAGGCATAAATCTTGCGCTTTCGTGTCGTGGAAACATCATGTGACTGTTTGGACGAGCTTGTATGGGCTGTAGTTAATCAGGTCCTTCAGTTGAGTGGCATTATTGCAAGGAGATGCAAGAGGGTACAATTGTAGATAATAGCCAAGTTATTTTAGATTTATGACTCTTTGTTCTATGAGTACGTACTCCCCTTTCATACAGGCATTTGAACAAACGTATAATGGTTTTACGTCTCTTATGGGCACTTGATATTATCCAAAGAACACCAATTTACTCGCTTAATTCATTCCTGGTTGTTTGTTTGACGGTCACCTGGCTAGAATTTAGCTTCAAATTACGGTCGTCTCAATTTGCCCGTTTGCCCATGAGCCAGCCACTTTCGGGACGTCACCAGACAACCAGACCGTGTGAAATTAGACCGTGGAAGTAAGCTAAACGGGTCCTTCGGTTGTACGCGTTGGTGAATATCCACGACGCGATAGAACCTAGAAAGCACTTTCGCTGAACAGTTGGCACCAATTGTTAGGTACGGCGGTGTCTGCTGCTATCTGGACCATGGAAGAGAGGTGGTTTGTGATACATGTAAACCGCAAAGTTCATTAAATTTCTCTCGTTAACATTGTTTTGTCCTCCCACATACGTATCTCCAGATGAAGCATCGAAGAATCATCGAACCGTGACGCTGGCTGATTGTCGTTCTTTTGCTTACGTTAACTGTTGCGTGGAAATGCATACTTATCCTTTATCCCAAACAGATTTCGACCGAGCACCAGGTTGAGGTGCGAGTCAAAGCAGAATGTTCGGTTGGTAACCGAGTCTGGTTTTGTGTTCCGGCTCGGGTCGATGCCGGCCGGTCCGGGGATGGTGCAATGGTTTGTGGCTGCAGAGGCTGCAACCTGATCAAAGGACCCGCATATATACGCGGAGAGGTCGCCGAACTGACCCGAGCACTACCTGGTGACTGGTCCGACCGCTTTCTTGTTACTTGCAAGCAATTGCTATCATTTTCCTCGGCAGACGGTGCATCGCAGGTGAATGTTATGCCTTATCTGATATTGGGATCACTTTCATTGTAAGAAGACTTAATTTCGTTCAGTTGATCCAAAGCTGCAACAGATTTCTAACTTCTTCCCCAGGTTATAGCTTATTCCATAACGGACACTTATTGTTGCCAGCAAATGGTGAAAGACTGGTGTATGATGTAGACAGCAGTGCACACAGGATTCGCTATCTCTCTCATTACAAATCATGGCACTCTAGAATTGCATATTTAGCAGGAAAGCTTCCCGATGCAAAGTTTCCGAGACAGGCTCTCGTACAAAATTAGGCACTTGAGGGACGTCCTCTGCATTCCGCCCAGTCATGCGCTCGCTTCACCTATCATTCTTTGCGAGAGCAGGATGGTCATCATGACAAAGCATCGGGCAATTTAGTAATTTAGATGATTCCAGCCATTTAGATAATCTAAGTTGAAAGGGTAATAGTGCATGTTTGTTATTATGAAAATTGTACGCCAGAAAGCGCTGATCTGGTTATGCTGAAATTAAGTAAGCGTCGGGAACAATTTCAATTTTTTATGCATTCGTCCTTGACCGGCCAAATAGGAGTCCGCTCAATGACGGACTGTTGTGAATAATAATCCATTCCGAGGCTAAATGTAACGAGAGTCCCGTAGCGTGCGGTCGTCGGTCCGCCTGTGCGAACCTCTCAGTGCATGTACCGGGCCCGGCGCCTCCCCCTCCCTCCGTTCACACCGTGCCGTCTGGTATCACACCTCTGTGATCATCAGCTACCGCCATGACCCCAGCGCCACACCGCCGCTAATTCGGCGCACCGCTACTCCACCACACTGGACGGCGCTCCCACGCCGGCACCGGTGCCGGCGGTGCGCCCTCTGACCCCGGTCCCGCTGGACTCACCTGTGCTGTAGTCCTGGTCCACCACCGGCATCGCTGTCGTCGTGGCTTCCGCCATCGCGGAGCTGCTGGCCGCCGTCACCGACGCGATGGAGCTGAGAGTGACGGTCGTCGGAGGCTCCGTCGTTGTCGGCTCCGTCGTCGGCACTTCGGTGGAAGGAGAGGCGGGCTCGACGGGGGCCGGTGGTCGACTGACGGTGATCGGAATCCAGCCGCTGGTCGTGCCCGCTGTCGGAGGCTGTGTAGTCGCCTCGGTGGGAGCCTCCGTGGACACGGACGCCGGTTTCTGGGTGGTGGTAGCGGCCGTCGAGGGCTCCGAAGATGAGACGGCCGCGGGCTCTGTGACGGGCTCAGGAACGGCGGTCGTCGTCGTAGCCGAGGTGGTGGTCTTGGTCGTGGCCGAAGTGGTAGGCTCGGTTGTTGTGGTGGTGGTTGATTCTGTTGTAGCCGGCGTGGTCTCCGCTGCCTCTGTCGTCGGCTGGGCCGTGGAGGAGGGTGTCGGTTTGCTGGTGGCCGCTGTGGTCGTCTCCGTTGGCGCTGAGGTGGACGGCTCGGCCGTGGTGGTCGTGGTTGGCGGTTTCGTCACCGGTTCCTGTGTGGTCTCGGGCGCCGCCGCGGTGGATGCCTCTGTCGCAGGTTTTTGTGTAGATGCTGCGGTGGATGACGGCTCCGTAGATATGGTCGTGGTGCTCTCCTGCTGCGTGGTGGGCTTCTCCGTCTGTTTCTCCTCCTCCGGTGACAGTGTGGTTGTATCGCTGTCCACGGGCTTCGCAGTTGTGGTGGAAGCCTCGGTGGTCGGCTGCTTCGTCACCTTGTCAGTGACCTTAGCTGGTGCCTCAGTGGAGGAAGAACCAGTGGTAGTCTCCGGTTTAGTGGGCGTAGTGGTCGACGGCTCAGCGCTGCTGGCCGGAGCCTCTGAAGAAGTGGATGCTGGCTTTGCTGTTGTGGCCGAGGTCGCTTCAGTCATCGGCTTGCTGGTGGTAGAGCTGGGTTCAGCCATCTCTGGCTGCTCCTCTTGTTTGATCTGCTCCTTGTCCATGTCGTCTTCGGCTGCGGCAGTCGTGGTCGCTTCCGTGCTAGGCTTCTCAGGCTTCTTCGTAGTTGTGACGACCTTTTCTGCAGTAGCCGTGGTTCCTTCGGAGCTAACGGAAGTGGAAGACGGAGCACTAGTCTGCGTCGTCATCTCTTCTTTCTGTTCCTCCGAGGCCCCTTGACCACCTGCCGTCGCTTCAGCAACAGACACTGTGGTTTCCGGCTTCTGAGTGGTCACTGTCGCCGCTTCAGTCGTCGCTGCCTCCGTGGAAGTCGCCTGCGAGGACGTCTGGCTCAGGTCGGGGATGAAGGTGCTGAACTCTGGCAGAGATGCGGTAGTGAAGGCGTCTTCAGTGGTGGTGGACACGGAGGCGGTTGTCACCTTCTCTGTAGTGGTCACCTTCTCTGTCACCGGAGCAGAGCTGGCGGTCTGTGGCGTGGTTGTGGTCTCAGATTCAGTCGTGGCATCGACTGGGACTTTGCTGGTTGTATAGACTTCGTTTGTCGACGTCAACTGGGCTGTGGTGGGCTTATCGGTAGGTTTAGGGGCTTTCGTCGTTGACTGTGTCGGTGTTTCAGTCGTTTTCGGTGCTGAGGTAGTCGTTTTCTCGGTCTGGGGTTTCTGGGTTGTCGGTGCCTCTGTTGTCCCAGGTGATGCAGTCGTGGAAGCTCCCTGTGTCTGCTGAGACGCAGCCTCCTCGGCAGCCTGTTTGTCCGCCTCCTCATCGCCCTGTCCTGACGCCGACTCGGTTTGAGAGGCGGAGGAGGCCTTAATGTCCTCGTCGGGTGTCGCAGACGCACTGGTGGTTTCCTCACTGGCTGCGGTCGTCTCCTGTTCCGCGACGTCAGGAGCTGCAGAAGACGTCGACGGTATCTTCTCCGTGACCGGAGTCTTCTCGGTTATTTCCGTAGGCTTCTTGGTCGTCGTCGTCTTCTGCTTCTCCTCCTCAGTCTCCGCGCTTGGAGTTTTCAGTTCTAACATGCTCTGAGAGCTTTCTGTGGAAGTGCTCACCTTGATTTCGGGAGCTTCTGTGGTAGTGGTAGACGTAGTAGTCGTAGAAGTTGTTGTAGAAGTGGTGGGAACCTTGACGGGCTTGTCCTTAACATCAGGCGGTAGCGGTAGCCCACCGTCGTCGACGGTGTTCGGCATCGGCTTGCGGAAGGCGCAGCAGCTGCCGAAGTAGAAGCCGTCCATGCACGTGCCGAGGTGAACTCCCTTGAGTTTCATACAGTTCCAGGCGAACATACAGACGCCGCGCTCCCCGCTGGTCTTGTGGGTGCATGGCAGAGGCCGGATGGAGCGAGCGCTTCCTGCAAGGGAGATGACGGGTCTGTCAAGCACGGCTCGGAACACGATACGGCGACACAAGCTAACTCCTGAGCAAGACGGAATACCGATTGCAATGTGTTCAATGCCTGGACCTGAGCTGATTTATGTGCTACAACTACTTTTCCTCTAAATCTTGTTGAAGGTCAAATCCATCTTCCACTGTGCTTCGAATCGTTTTGGCTATGAATAGCAACATCCTATTAAGTATTTAGTCACGACAATAGCATGTAGTTTAAATGAATACTTATTTGGATGATTAGGTAATGTCATATTTTACTGCAATACTTGTATGGAAAAAATCGACTACTTACCCCTGATAAGTGGCTGGAAACGTCTTGCTGCTGTTACTCCCAACAGAAAGAGAACGAGATACAGTGCCCTCATGATGAGTTGTGCTTGGTGCCGTTAATAACGAATATACCTGTAATCAAGAGAGGGTCATGTCAACAAAATTATAGTTCATCAAGCGCATTTAAAGTGCGAGGCCGGGCGAATGGTCATACTTGTCTAATAATTGTCGTATGAATAATATGAAATGCCCGAAACATTCAGGATGAACAGTCAGGATCGCGTAGCGTGCAGCGGTTTTATCTATCAACAGCGTCCAAAAATGGTTTTCCTCAATCCGCTTTATTGAATGCTCTGAGCACCATATCATGAAGCGTGGTTCTCAGTGCAGCTCCTTTCATCCTAAATCGAAGCACGGACATGCCATTGATGACCTAGTCTCGCACCAAAGTCGCCTTGCACCCGAGGGCGGTGGGCGCTGCGGACGGGACGGGAATGACCGCAGCGGCGCGGCGGCGGGTGCGCCGTTACATTGCCGTCAGCTGACCGTCCCAGTTCTGCCCTCCCCACAACGGCACACCGTCACCGCCCGAGAGAGCGCCGCTCGTCAGCCCACTCCTGTCGGGACGGATAGGGTCGAGCGGCTGCACTCGACACCCTCCCTCAGGCCAGGTGACGCGCGGTCCCTTCACTGCCGGGCGGAATTTCTGTTCCCGGTAGGGGCCATGACGTCTCCGGCCGATGACCCACAAACGCCGGAGAGGAGGCGGTCGGACCGGATACGGCCGTATTGGAGGGAGGAGGGGGGGGGGGCGAGTCGGAGCCGGGCGGGATCCCGGGGCTCGGCGCCTGGTGCTTGACCGAGCTGCAGTGAAGCGATGATACAAGCCAATATGTTTGGCTCGTATACCGAGGTGAATATTTTTGCATTAAGCATTGCCAGCCACCTGTAATGTCATTTGCCAGAAATATTCCACTGAGTGAGATCTACTGTTCCGCTGTTCACATGTGAGGCTGAGCACTGCGGCCGATGTCCTTGCGTGCTGTGCTCCGCGACCACCGCGCCGTACGCCGGCTGTCCACTGAGTGATTCAGCGGCGCGCGGTCGCGGACCTCCGACCTCCCTCTCAGATGGTCCGCGGCCCTCGGGTGCCGGCAGAACCGGCTGGACGACCGCCAAATGGGTCACCGGTTGCGGCACCCCGCTCGCAGCGCGGCCGGCCCGGAGCGCCCGCAGAGACACAGTGTGGAGATCCACGTGTGTGCCCGGAACAATGCCCGCGCTTGGATACACGTGGATCGCTACCGCGCGACCAGCCACGCCGGTTTGGGCGTGACGTCTGCACAGCGCACAACACATCACTCTTGAACGCACGTAGTTCTTTCAGCTTGGCTTTTAGGGCGCGGTCGCTGGTTAAGCAATGACGAATGCGTCACTCGGTGAAATGATCCGAGGCGTGAGTTTCACCTGTCGGAGGCGACGTTTCGCCACGGGGTGACTCAGACGGTGCCAGTGAACCGTCTGTTATGAGTTCCGGTGTGTCTGGAGTCTGGACTGGCCCCACCCTTTAATCGTCATCATCTCGTGAGACTCGCCCATAGAGCTGAGAATGTCCTGGACCAGCTCATTGGAAGTCCAGCGCCAGATTTCGTCACCGGTGTAAGCGATCATAGCCCAGTTTCTCTTCCGGCCAATGCTGACTCACCTATATGGATACATATTCATGAAGGTTCTGCCTAACGGATTCGGCTGAGAAACTTTCGTCTCAAAATAGTTTTGATTCTTATTATAGCTGGAATACGTTTTTAATTTGAGTCAAGTGACCAATGTCTTGCGCGATAGATCCCGTGGGAAAACTGTCCCACCCTCACAGTGTGTGGGTGAGGGGGTTCTCTGCAGCTCTCAGTCCTCTGCTTCTTGGGGCATGAAGCAGAGAATTGCGGCATACTCGTATATCTGAGTTGAAGCCGGTAACGGACTATTAAAATGTGTCCCCAATGCTGCGGAACGTAACATGTTTCCCTTCTTCAAGCATGCAGGTAACAATTGTCTGAATTGAAAAAAGTGATTTGTAATGTGCCCACTTGTTTGGAACCTTCGCATTACTTTGGTGACCTACTCTGTGTGGTAATGTTGACATCCCAGCAATGGGTCAGAAGACTACAAAGTGAAAATAACGGGTTTTGGAGTGCTAATTCTCATGCCATGTACTTACGAGCTATTATCTGTGTTCACATTCCTTATACGATTGGCCTTGTTGGTCTGAAACATTTAGAAACATGGACTTGTGACAACCGAGGAACAAGCGTATAGCACTTTCACCTCTCTTGTTAACTGCTGATCGTTTTAGATTGCGATTATAACCCACGCCGTTTGTGAAGGAAAGCTTCACTTCATCTTCTACTTCATCGTAAATGTTAGATGTGACTACGACTACCGATATTTTTTAATTTGTCCATTTTTATACGGTCCGGGCAGTGTGGATGCGCCACACCATTCTGTCCACAATCCGTCTACACTCCACCCAACTGTCAGGAGAGCAGAGGGGTCGGTGACCGTCCTTGCCCGTCCGTCCTGCGGCCTTCTCTGCAGAGTGGTGACCCACCCCAGGCAGCGACCGCGGTGGAGGGGGATAACCCCGTGTGCTGTGAGCCAGCTGAAATGTTTCACAGACGTCTGACGACACCGCCCCCGGCGCCGTCTGCTGAGTGGCAGTGGCCGGCCACGGTACCGTTGTATGTTCGTATGGACTCGCGAGCTGCAATCGGTCGCGGCCCGTGGACAAATGGAGCGTTCAGCGACCCGCAGCAGCGGCTCGGCCGGCTCACTCCCAGCCCTGAAGGCCGACGACGCGCTCTCACGGCACAGTTCCGCAAGTGGTCCGTGGTGGTGATGATTTACACTCGCTGGCGGCGGCTGCGGGGCAGAACGAGGCGCTGGGTGCTACCCCTGCCCGCGGGCTGATGCGGCCCGTGGGACGGTTCTCAGGTGCTGCGTGGTCCGCGCACTGGTCCGGCCGGCGGTGCCCGTCTGACCGGTCGGGTTAACTATGAGGCCGAGCAGGTCGGTCGGTGTGACCACCGTGCTGGGTTAGAAGGACGGACGGCTGACATTCCTGAGGCCAAGACTCCGTCTCACCCGGTCACCCGCCGTGGTCCAGTTACGCGCCGGGGGCGTTCCGACCGAACTGACGCCCCGCCGCGGTCGGCCGGGCGAGGAGACTTCAACGCCCCGCCGTCACAGGCCACTAGCACCGGAGACTGCGGTGGAGACCAGGGGCGTAACACCAGCGCGGTGCGTCGTCCCTTCCCTCCGCTCCGGCGGCTAACGGACCCGTCTCTCCTCCCTGCGTGCCGGCCCGAGGGCATGTCCGACGGGCAGGATGGGACGGAGCGCGGAGCCATGCAAACAGCGGGCCCGTGCGGCCGATCACCTGCTCTCAGACAGAGCGTGCCGCCAGATACCGTTGGCGGACGAGGAGAGCTGCCAGACGGCGAATTTGCACCAGCTGGTGCCACGACGGCGCTCCGCCGCGCCTCAGTGGTTCTGTGCTGCCGGACACTCGGCACGACCGGCGCCAGACGACCGACGACCCCTCCTCGGCCCTCTGGGCACCGTGACGGCGGCACACTGCCGACACCGGGCCGACCGGAGAACATTGAACTCTCCACGGACCATTTAACACGGCAATAGAAAAACCGCGCTCGCGACTAAACGTAACGGTGACATTTACGGCCCCGGCGTATCATTAACCCACCCATTACACCTGTCCTTCAGTAAAAAATAGGATAAAAATCCGCTGGTCTTCCTATTTGCATTAGCTTCTGGTTTATTCGCTTTTTACTGCCCCCTTCGAAGGCACTGGTTTTGTGATGGCGATAAACCCAGACCTGCAGACTTTCAGATTGGCCCTTCCGTAGGGGCCATCCGACCCTTATAAGAATGCGGTTGTATACTCGGTGATCCAAGAGAAGCGTGTCCTCAATACGGCTAAATGTTGCTGGTTTTCATGGTTTTAATCAAATGACCCATATACAGCCATCGCTAGTCATCGGCACTCGAAGACTCGGATATTTTTGTATCAAAGTAGTGTCAATCCGGTCTCAGTGTTGCACCGGAGACTGTATTGTACAACTCTAGGGTCTATTCTCGGCCCGTGGGAATGTGTTGTCGTTCCACTGGCCTTGGCCCGTCGGCGCTAGCCCCGGGCCGGCTCCCAGTGCCTGCAGGCCTGCCGCGGTGGTGGCCGGCCGGCCGGCGGGTCGTTTTTGCTGACAGCTTCGTGAGGCCGCGGCGAGTCACCGACCGCGCTGACCGCCGGCCGGTCAGGGTCGGGGGCGTCGTCACCGGCGACGGGCGACTCTAACGGTGGACACGGCCGACGACGACACTAGGCGTGTTTACCACGGCGGACCGGGCGGGGGCGGCCGCCGAGCGGGCCGGCGCCGCCCCGGGCCGTGTTTTTGTCGGAGGAGAGGTGATACATCATGGCGGTGAAGTCACGCGGCCGATGTAGTATGCAGATACGGAGATACTTCCGGGTAGTGGGACCAGAAGTAGGACAGACCCTGCGGCGGCCTGGTGATGGTTCCCAGGAGTCGGACCTGTTTATCTGATGGGCGAGATATGCTCAGAGAAGATGTCAGGACTGGGGAGCCGGAAGATTTCAGGATAATGAATTAAAGCAAAGGCATCGATTGTGTTACCGCCATCCACGCAAAGGTCTGATTCGGCAATTCGACAGAGGCTCGACAGAGACTCAACACTAGATTTTCTATTGAAGTTTGCCTGTTGAATGACCTCTGGATGTCGCTAGCAAGTGTGGAAGGACCTAGGACACACCGCTATATTGGGACCGTCTTAGACGGTAGTCTCCCCTCTGTGCTACTCACCCGCGATGCTCAGCGCCGACCGGACGGGGCAGGGAGCCTGGCGTGTCACAGGTTCGGTGGCTTCTCTAGCGAGCGGGCTGCACCATGGCACGGAGCGGCGACCGAGGAGAGTGCGCGTCCGACGACCGACAGCGAGGGGAGCGCGCGCGCGACTGCCGGCGCTGGCCGCGCGCGCCTAGCGGTACCGGTCGCGCCGCCGCGCCGCCGCCGGGGCGTGGGAGAGGGTCGGGTCGACCAGGTGACCGGCCGCCGTGGCGCAATGCCGCCCCGGGGCTGCCGGCCGCTGCTGCCGACACATACAGTCAGAGCCGCCCAGTGACGCGCTTCCGGCTCGGAACGTGGATTGGGAAATCAGAGACGACTGCTGGATTCTGCTCCAAAAGTCTGCTCTGCGTCGGAATCGATTGACTTTTTGGTGATCCGGTGGCTGACAATGACATTACATAAGTTGGCGTGAGTTTTACAGGCGTCTTATAACCCAGTTGCATTGTTTGATTTTCACGATCGCTCATACGCACACTGACTTCGTAGCTATAGCTGCATCAATTTGTATAGCTGTCCTGTCTATAGCTGGTCTCAATTTGTCGTTCAGCTGATGTCGAGATCATCCTAATTACAAACAGTCAGCTGGTTTTACGTCAATTTGCAGGTTGTATGCTCGTGCATGTTTCAGGATTAATAGAAATCTGATAATATGACATCAAAATTACTTTATCCATTTTCAAACATTTCGACTTTATTCAAACTATTGTCCAGAGAGGTAAAACAGCAAGGTGGCGACATAAATATGTACTTGCGCAGTCGATACACATCACACTTCGCACACTTCAAGGACTGTGATGTATAATGTATGACGAATGCGTGTGAAGGAATTTATGTCACCGTACAAATGTTTACTTGCTCTTCTACCTCTCAGGACAGTGAACACTAAAGATTGCTTTAAATAAGGTCGAATAAAGTATATAGTTATGTCGCAAGTAATGTTTATTCGGTTTTTTTTTGCCTGTCTGAAAGCATATTTGTTTGCTGGTTATCAGACTGCAGTTGGTTCAATTTGTGTTACCGTTCCTAAATTTTGGCATACTCTGCTGGTTACAAATCGTGTCTCGGACTCCAGGTAAGCCCCCAGACAACGGCATGCAGGGTATGATAAGAAAGCTGCGCGGCAAAAGCTAAGTGGCATTGAATGGCACCGGCTCAATATCAATGTGGCGGTTCTTTGCTTAGTTGGAAGCAAGCTCTCTAGTCTTGCGGCCTAAAAAGGCCATTGCAGAGCTTTGTGGGGTTAGACGTGGACTGTTGCGGACCGCCGACGGTGCAGCGACAGAGACTGTCCCCGGGGAAGGGAGTGTTCCGTAGGGACAGCCCGACGCCCGCCCTGCCGTCAAACGGTCGCCCCGGAGAGGGTGTAGTCAGGTAGGTCTGTAGGTAATAATCTTGCCCTCACCACCGGTCGTCTGGTGGGCTGACCGCCAGCCCAGAAAGGGAAGGGTAAGGAAGGATACGGTGCGGGCGGAGCTGGTGTTGAGGAAGGCAGGAACGGTTGTGCTCTCAGTTGTAGCAATTGTTTGTTTTGTTTTGGTTGGGCCTTTCGGTCTAGCGAGACCTTTGCAGAGCTGGAGCGATGATAGAAATTGAGGATGATAATAGTCTGGCTGGCCATGCCGGCCAGCCTGGTGCGCCGCTGTGGTTGATCCTGTCTCGATGGACAGACAGGCCACCTAGCCCCGCAAACGGTCTCTCCACCTCACCAGAGCCTGCTTCTGAGGAGCTATACTTGTGTCGGATTAAGGTGACCGTCAGCCTGGAGAGACGCGAGGAGGAGAAGGATTTGACAGTCCTGAGGATGAAAAAGAGAGAATGGTGTAAAGTAAAGTGGCACCACGGGCAGCTCTCATAGTCCGGTGGGCACGAGTCAGTCTCAGCGGAGCCTGTGGGACCAGGGCGACATCTGCCGCGATTAGGGCGACATCTGTGGCTGTGCGGAGCAAATGTTAGTACGACGTTCAGTCCCGTGGTGACCGGTGGGCGTATTCGTCAGTGGAAAACCCAAACATACCTAAGCAATACGGTCTCAGATCAGATTTATCTTGGTCAGCCTACCAAATTATCCAAAACCTCTCCAACATTCTTTACTTTACCTCTGTCCACGGTGGGGTCGCCGGTCACTCGTGACGTGCCTAAATTTGTTCCGGGTCATTTTTTTGGTTAAGGTCAATAGTGAAGTCTGGAAAACAAAGCTTCGCAACAGTTTGGATGAAAGTTCAATCCATCATTATCCAGCATTTTTGGATTAGTAAATGGGCAACTCTTTCCATAAAACCTGTTAGAGACGCACCCCAGCACTGTGTCAGACTTGATGGAGAAAAACATTCATAATGAAATAATTACAAACGACTACTATTTGTAACATGGTGTGAATACTGAATAGCATTGTGTATGACGATTTCAGTCCACGGTATGGCCGTGTTTACGTAATCTTGGTGTTTACATCAGTAGGTGATTCAGTAACTTTATTTGATCAAGGCTGCTTAGTCAATAGGTCGCCTATTTATTGACTTCCCGTCTCCGCCCTCCAAACATCACTAGTTTTTTGGAAAACACCTAAAGCTAGTTTTCTAGTTTTCAAAAGCTAGTGTATTTACTCCCTAACCCGGTACATACTGCTTACTCCCACTTCAGCGTCAGCTGTGCAAAAACAAATGTCAAAATTGCCCGACCATAGGTACACCCCTGCATGAGATGCCTCACACCCGATGTCGACCCTTCGCCGGCTGCTTGCCCCCCTCCCCCAAAGTTTTTTTTTTGCAATAGCTCGGAATACGCTTGCGACAGACAGATAAAGTTTTTAGTTTGGTATTCCTGAGCTTTGATTGAAGTCGAATCTTTTGAAATCAATGGCATTTTCAAGCCAGGTCAGATCAGTGACCTATGTGACTTCATAAGTGAGCCTCTGCACGTTCCTAAGATGTTGCAACTTCGCAATGCCCTCAGTTCCAGAAGAGTTTTCACATGGAGATGAATCTTACAGTGACTAGTATCCTCCAGGGGTCTCGCATATTGTATATCCCAGATTTTTCCCAAAGGTTACCTGTGGTCAGGTCTGTCACCATTATAAGTCATTGCAAAAGTATGGAAGCTGTTATTTTGGCCCCTGGAATGATCCAAAAATACTTCAGGCTCATGGAATCATGACTTCATGCACTCCTTGCAATTTTACAAAGTTCGATGCTTCACTTTTGCATTTTTGACCTTGCACGACGTAATTTATGACGTCACTAGGGTCATGTGAGTTGTTCGTCACTAACTCTCGATCAAATTTTAAAATTAGCTAGTACGGGAAAAACACCAATCGACTTAGCGAAACCTGCCAAATTGAATGATATGCGATATGACCCATTCGACTTGGTTTGTGACCTGAGTGGCTCTGACCTGACCTTGAGCCGAGGCCCGAGGTCATCACCTTGGGTTGACCTTATCTAAACAAAGTGTATATTATTCGACGCGCCGCCCAAGCATCGAGAACACAATGATGCAAAAATCGCGTAGCAAAGCTATTGTCTCGTTAAGCTACCAGTCTATCGCTTACTGCCCCTTAGGTTGTATTTCGACTGTAGTGCATACCTACGACATCGGAAAGGGACTAAACCGTGGCTTGGTGCGTATTGACTCCTAGTTTCCGTAGTTTCTGTCGTGGCAGGTGGTTGTTGAAGGCACAAAAACAGGCGAAGAGATGGCAAACAATCAACGTCACCTGATGATCATGTATTGCAGGGTAGGTACAGTCGGTATGTAAAATGCGCTCACAGTCACTCGCGTTGCGAACACCACTGATTGGCGGGGCCGCCTCTGACTGAGGGCGGTCACCGGCCTTCAGCGGGACAGCCAGGCGTTGGTGTGGGGGGATCCGGAGTGGCTCTAGACGCTGTCGCTGAAGGTCTCTGGCAGGGCGCCGACGGATCCGTCGATGGCGGCCTGGTGCTCGGCCGACAGCTGCGGGATGGCGTCCGATTCGGCGCTGTAGCCGTTCTCGTCGGCCGTCCACGTGACCGTCACCGTCTGTCCGTTGGGCGCCACGTACGAGTACTGGCCTGAAACGGAGCAGAGGGCAGTGTCAACGGGATAACAGCTCCAGGGGCGGGATGACAGTGTCTACATGAGTCTCACGTCAATGTCGGCAATTGAGAAGACTTGGCGACTGAGCAATTTGAGCACTGTATGAGCATGTTAGACAGACACTAGGGATGTGACATGACAACATCAGTTCCAAAGTCACACAAGCCATGGCGAAACTTGGGTCCTGCTACCACAACTTGTGGCGGCGCTGTGACATCGTATTGACATGTCGGCAACTGGAACCAGTTTCTATGGGGCTTGGCGACGGCAAAACTCCAACAAAACCCACTGCGTCGCATGGAATAAAGAGAGGTCACTGAGCGAGACTCCAGCGAGTGCGCCAGAGGGTCCTCCACCCCCGCTGTCTGTCGGGCGGCACGTACCGCTCATGGTGTAGCTGCCCGTCTCCGGGTCCTGGCCCGGGTAGCTGGTGCCGGTGGCGCCCTGCTGGATGTTGTTGGACGTCTCCATGTCGGCCACGAAGCCGCCGGCCTCGTCCATGCTGAAGTCGTTCTTGACGATCTGAGCGTCGCGGTCGCTGCCGGCCACGTACGGGGCGTCGTCCTGAGCGGCGGCCACAGCCACCAGGGCGAGCACGATCATCTGCGGAGGAGCGGGCACCGGGCTGTCACTGGACGAACGTTACTTAAGACTGAAGTGATCACTCAGATGACAAATCTCATTCAAGAAATCACTCAGTTGACCCTGGCACTGCTCTCACGTCGCCCATAAACTGCTGGGCGTGGGACGGTGTCCTGTGTCGACTGGAAAATCGTACGTCATTATGAACAGCATACTTATTTATCTGCGGCTGCGGCACCACATTGCTCTGCTGTATACAGGGCCCGGCAAAAGTTCTGTCCTCTACTTATGACAACTTTTTCCGGTCCCTAATCCTTTCTACCCCTAAGGGATAACGGTTCTGGCTGCTGCACCCCTGCATTGCACGGCCCTTGGCTGCGTGACATGAGGTCGCGAACGAACCTCAGGTCACGGATCACCGAGCTACGGCCAGTTTCACACAGATTGTTAACCCGAACGGCCGCGTCGAAA